TAACAAGAGGTAGCCTAATTCAATCAAAACTTGACATTAAAACAGCTTTACATTTTACAAATGATGCAATTAAATGACCATTTAAAACCACTCTGAAATATAAATTTTTCAAAGTTAGACAAGCTGCCATTAAATTAAAATTCTTAGGTGAAGCAAAATACAATATGCAACAAAAATAGTCCATACAATTAAGGTGTATTGAAGTAATTAAAGAAAGAGGAATGGAATATGTGTTTGCTATAGGGGAGACCAGATAGTTGTATCACAGGTCATGTAACACTAATCAGGGACTAGTTACAAACCAGCTGATTCACTTCACACATGCTAATTAGTCCTCATTCCACATATGGAAAAGAAGAGGCCTGTGGCAAACACAACAGTTGCTAGAGGAGAAAAACTACATTTGAGCTAAGAATGTAATACTTTTTGCTTAAATTATTTTTGGAATAGAAATGCCTTGTTTGTAGTTAAATCCATCCAAGTTAAATTATGTCAATTTTGTGTCTGTGCACATATTTTAATACATGTTGTTGATGATAATGTTTAGCTGTTAGTTGTAAGGTAGAAATCATAATCTCATCCCAGTAACTATTCAATCAGATTTTGAACGCACTGGCTTAAAAGATCTCAAACATATAGGAAGAAATGTAAAAAGTGTTACAACAAAATGTTACAACTCCTCTACGTCTAGAGCACAGGTGTCAAATCCAGTTCCTGGAGGGATGCAGCTCTACACTGCTTCAACAAACTAAAGCCGTGGTCACACTGGACTTCTCTCCCCATAAACTTCTATATATACGCACATAAATGCATCAGACCGAAAACATAAACTCGTGCAACAAGTTTCTCAGTTTGCTGCTTTCGAAAATTCAAGCTTGGTGAACTCTGACCTGCAAAATCACATAACTGGATTTTGTGAGACCAATCGAAGACCAAAACATGACCTCTCTGGACAGAAATGGACCAGTCGCTCGTTTTAATAATGTCTAATCATCTTTAATCCCACCCCTTTTCACAGCGCCACAAAAAAATTTTGCATGCACAAACTTTAATGTGACCGCGGCATTACCTGTTGGTTTCAAACAAAACTCAAGGACTCAATTAGTTCGATCAGGTGTGTTTAACAGAGCTGTGGCTCTCGAGGAACTGGATTTGACGCCTGTGGTAGAGAGAGAGAGAGAGAGAGAGAGAGAGAGAGAGAGAGAATGGATGATAATGTTTTCAAATGGTTCCTCTCAGATAATACCTGTTACACAACCAGATGATTTGCAGTGAAGCACATTACAGGTGACTGGCTCAGAAATCTGGTGGTTCAAGTTTGATTGCGTTAACCCATACTTTTAAAAACCTTACAAGATGTAAAGATAACTGGATTGTTAAGTGCCTTGAGTTCCTTTACTTTTTATGGTACTTTCAAACTTGCTTAAATGGAAAATGATTAGTTTTATAATCTTCTTTAGTCTGTAATATTCATTGTATTAAGTGTGCACAATCAACAAGCACAGTCTGATGAATGAACAAAACTAAAAACTTCTCAAGAGGCCCCCGGTAAAATCGATTGCGCACTGCCAGCATGATAGGTTACGGAATGCTCTCCCTTACTCTGTAAGAAATGCTTCCACACTAGCTAGTTTTAAGAAGATGCTAAAAACTCATCTTTTTAAGACTGCATTTTTAGATTCTTGATTATTCTGCGTTCATATTTTATAAATTGTTTATGTATACTTGTATTTTATTGCATGTTTGATTTCTCTGTATGTTGTAGCACTTTGGGTTTTAGAAAAGCACATTATAAATAAAATGTATTATTATTATTATTATTATTATTATCATATTCCCTACAGGTCATTTTTAAAAACCAGTTAAACTGTTTTTTGTGAAAAGTGTTGTTTTTGTTCTCCTTTTTGGTTAAAAATATACATAAACAGCATCAGAAGAAAAAGGCTGTTGGTGAGGAAGGTGAATGAGTTGAAGTTTTTGTTTTGTTCTTTTCAATTGCTGAGACAATGGTTGGGTTGAACCAACACATTTCTGGATCCTGAATCAATATGAATTTGCAATCAATTGAATTAAGAGAATACTTTGGGTTCATAAATGAGTTTTTCCTCCTCCTGGTGTTCTTGCTGATCAAATTCAGTATAATTCTTCTATTAACATGGAATTTCAGTAACAAATTAAGCCTGTGGCAAATTGTGTGCACAGCTTTGTTTAGTAAAGGCAGAAATAATGCAAAATGCAATCATGCAGTAACTGCATCAAATGTGCATATTTACAGCAAATTAATACAATGATCAACTTATACATTACATTTTTTATCTATTTCTAAAGTGTTGCCTGTACAACAAGTCTCTCTTAGATGACAATGGAAGACAGGGGTGTTCCCACGCATATATAGCCATAATAGAGCACTTAGCTGTGTGTTTTTGAGAAGTGTATGCCTCCTGTGTAGTGACTCCAGCCCCTGAGTGGGAATAAACCTGACAAATATGACAGGGTCAGCTCCAGAATTTTTGAAGGGATTTTGAGTAACATAAATTGTGCAAAGAAAGTAATGACTAAACCATAGGTATCTAAACTACATGATAGCCATTTAGCCATGTAACATTGTTTATAATGTGGAAAAAAAAGGTTGGAAAAATGTTAGGAATGTCATTATCCTTTCTAATTTCTTTCCTTTATTATTTATTTTTTTTATTTTTTTATTTTTTTTTTGCATTTTCTTAATTTTACTTTTAAAATGTAAAGGTCATGGTGGAATATCCCGTGTAGAAAAAAACACATTTTAAAATGTACAAAAAAAGACAAAAGAATATATTTCCTAGAATACTTTTTTCTTTTTTAAAAACTTGACCCTGGAAAAAAATTTTAGTATGAAAAAGTTAAATCTAAATTTACTTTCAACTTCAAATATATATTGCTTTAAGCCAAAAAAAATAAATCCATGATAAAAATAGGTAACTAGAACTATATAAAAATCAGCATTTCTATTAAATGAAGAATTATTGAGTTTTCAATGTTTCATATAACTTGATACTCTGCATTGGACAGTACAGTCAGCCCATCTTTTTTTTTCAGATGCTTTGCACAAGCAAAAACTTGCACAGTAACTTCCACTGCTAGTGAACATATTCTTTAATTCAAATAAAACAATTACACATTCAAAATACTTGAAAGAAGGATATTCAATGGAGGGACAGAAAAACCTCATCAGCGCATCTGAAGACATGAGAGGAGTATGTGACACCAGTCTAATAATAAACACGTGATTTCAAGAATAAAATAAAATGAAATAATATAAATTGAAAACCTAGTAATACATGCATGAGACTATATATGATATACAATGTACTTTTTCTGATATACAAATTATATTAGTAATTCATATATTAGTCACAATTTTACTTTTATTGTCATCACAGTGAAATCCTAAATAGCACAATCCAAAGTATGAGTAAACTGCATAATATTATACCATGTTGGTATGCTAAGTTATGCTCTAACATTAAACATGTGCACTTTGACACTGATGTAGTTTAGCATGATTCTTTCTGTTTCTTCATGTTTTTCTAGGTGTACTGGATGATGGTGCAGATCACATCTTTGTGTGGAGCATTGGCTGATATCAGCAATCAAAACTGTCACTCGATTATTAAAAGGAGTAGAAAAAATTGTTTTGGAAATGTAAATTGCTATTTACTTCTGACTAACTACTGCAAAAGATAAAAATAACTGACGTAAAAACTGAATTTGTTAATGAATATAGTGGCCAAGAATTAGACTTTGGACAGTATTGTATGTGTATTGCATAAGATGTAACTGCTGCTTTTAACCTTACTCCAATGTTGAGTCACTGTGGCAGTATGAAAGAGAATGGACATTCATTGAGTTGTTATGTGCATAGAAAAAAAATTAAAACACTTCTTTGTAGCCCAAGTGACTATCCCATTACCCACAATGTGCCATTAAAAGACTAGTTCATCAAAAATGAAAATTATAATTACTGTTACTCACCCTCATATCATTCCACTCCCCTGAGACCTTTGTTCATCTTCAGAAAACAAGATAATTATTTCAGGCTATTTTAGATGAAATCTAAGAGCGTCCCTCACCCTACATATACTGTATGTCTATAGACAACAATGGTCAAGTGAAGTTCATAGTCCAGAATATTTAAAAGGTTGTCAAAACATTCCTATACTGACTTCAGGTGTTCAACGGCAGTGTTCAAAAGCTCCATGAACACTTTTGTGTGCCAAAAACTGTAAAAACTATTTTGTTAAAATGCAGTTGAGAAGATAAACAATAAACACCCATACCAAAGAACACTTTGGCCTTATTATATTTTACAGCATTGTGAATAAGAATGATATATTAAGAGTGATACTACATTTATTATTTTAGCACATATTCTAGCAATGACCTATAACTTAATGTAAATTCTGATCGTTTTATAATAAATTTTAAAAACATAGATGCATATTATGCCAATTCATAAAAATAAAATAAACCTTTTGAAATCATGCAGTTGTTCACAATCAGAATATTATGCATGCTTCATTTTAAAACTGATAGAATGTAAATGACAGAAACAGTGAATTGATGAAATGGATATTTTGAATACAACATTTCATATAATTGGGGTTGACATCAAAATAAAAATAAAATACTGAAATAAATAGTTTGCATAAATAATATGGCTAAAAAGAATAATTGTTAACTGTTGTTGTTTATTTTAATTTGACTCTCCAGGCTGCTCAAATTATAAAACAAAGTTCGTTTGGCCTGGACTCACTTCTTGTTTAATGACACTTCTGAATAGCTAAGGATCACAACTTTTTTTTCTTTACGTATTTCTTTGTGTAGTCTAATGTTTCACAGAAAGGTTTAAAATCAATGTAATCTTCTCCGCCCTCTGCTGAGCAGTAAAAGACGCGCGTGCACAGATCTCTCTCTCGCCCTTCTGTTTGTCATGATGCTCGCGCCAACCGCAGGGTTTCGTTCATCAGTCTTTGACTGTTTAACAGTCTTCCTGGCTTTTTGCTGAAACAAAACACACCGCCAGAGTTTGTTTCAAAATCTTTCAAATAGCTTTTTTCCTCAAGTTAAAAAAGTCTAAATATTATTAGAAAGACGTGCGGTTATACCTCATGGCTGAAGCCCGTTGTAGTGATGGAAGTGAAGATTTTTCAAATGTTTCTGTTACGAGGAGAAGAGATTCAACAGGTAGGACAATTGTTGTTGTTGCAATTACTATGGAAAAGTTGAAACGTAGCTTAGGTAGAGTACGGTAACGGATTATTTTTCTGTTGCTTGTAGTTACTGTAATTAAATAACTTGTCCGTTGAAAGTTAAATAAAGAGATAACTTGGATAATTTTATGCAGTTTAACCACAGTGTAATGTACTCAGTTATCCTACTTCAAATAAATTCTGCACTCCTCTGTAAATCAGTTTAGAGAAACTAATTATTGACTAGGCTATTTTTGTTATTCAAATATAGCCTATTTTTCAGAATCATGCCATTTTTCAACTAAGGAATGTTATAATTGTTAAGATAACGGTACATTGTTGACATTAAAGAATCAATGTAAGAAATTATTTACAATGTATTGTATGTTTTGAGATTATTTACTTTTTGAAATTATTTACTTTTTAAGGAACTGACCCAACACTGCCTAAAACAGTAATTAGCCTGCTCTTTTTGACTTTCTGGAGTGCAATTATTATTCATCATTTTTAAATGGTACAAAAAAATAATTGACTTGAACACTTCATTTTTAACAATAAAAAATGTATAAAGTGATTTTTGCAAGTTTTTATCACAAATTTCAGAAACATTATGACAGCAAACTGCATCTCCTATTCTTATTCTATGATAAACAAAAAATACAGACATTTGGGTTCCTGCATGTGTGAAATTAAAAAAAATAACTTAAGTTAAAAACATAACTTAAAATATTTTTAACTGATGCTGCAGACCCATATTTAGTAATAGACAAAGAAAAATACAATCTCCAAGAAATTGATGTTGCTTCCAAGAATAAGTAGAAACCTGTCAAAGAAAGTGGTAAATAATGGCTTGATGCATCAATAATCATTTATAAGTATCTTAAGATTCAGCGGGTTAACAAAAAGTCAATTTTTGATACTTAATGTTTTAATATATTTCGTAAACATTTAACACTTGTAATTGGTTAAAAACCATTATCAAACTGTAAAAAAGTGAATTAGGGTGAAAAGTTCCTCTTGCTCCCTCAGCATTAGTTTCTAGATGTATGGCTGAGTCAGCTGTGAGTGGGAGAAAAAACAGCAGGTTGTAGCTTTCTTCTATTGACACTGAACAGGTGACATGACTCTGAGTGAGGAAACATGAGGCAGCAGTTGTGCTTGTCGCAGCCTGTCTGAAAGTATAGCACCTGTGCAGTGTCATGTGTTTGTCTGGACAGTCAGCATATTAAACATTTTAAACTTTCTCTTATATGTCTGCAGCTTTGTAAAGTGGGCTTAGTTTTAATGCTTGTTCATAGAGGAAAATATCAAATTGGTTTCAGTGGGTATAGATGTGTGCATGTAGGTGTATCCAAAACCCTTTTCACCTACTCATATCCTCATATATTTCACTCATGAAGTCATGAAGAAATGCTCCAGTTTCAACATGTTAGCTGTATAAAATGTGTGAACGGGAAAGTCCCGTGGTCATAAACATGTTCAGACTTATTATACAATATTACATTACTCATTTTCATTTTAGTTCTGGTCCTCAGATTTGGTTGGTGAAGTGTAGTTTCCAGAGTGCTGATAAATGCTCCAGGCAGACTGTCAGTCTTGATGTTAATGATGGGGATTTTTAATTGAACCTATCTCAATGTTGCATTATTAGATAAGTAATAATCAGAGTGAATTTTTGATCAATTCGCACAAAGTAATTAATTGAACAGTGATTCATTTAGATGTAAATTCACTGTCTTAAAAGCATACAAAAATCAACTCCCACTTTACCTAGTAAATGAGTGGCTTTTATTTGCAGAGGTGGCTGCTGTGTCAGTGAAATTTCACATTTAGAGGACTAAAATTTTTGCTTTTGCCTGCTGGCTTCTCTCCAGGTTTTATATAGCAGCATAAAATATTATTTTTATTACATTTATATGTTTAATTTGCACTACCGGTCAAAAGTTTGGGGCCAGTTTTTTTCATGTTTTTAAAAATATATATATATACTGTTCATTAAGGCGGCATTTACTAAATTAAATCAAAGTAAATTAAACGCTTTCTTATTGTATTTAATTTCAAATAAAATTATTACTTCAGTCATTATTGTTTTTATTACAATTACATTAATTAATATTAAGTAAAATGATCAACTACATTTGAACAGTTATTTTACAGTGAAATAACATTTCACAATTTTACACCTTTTCACTGAATTTTTATGAAATAAATGCAGCTTTGGTGAGCAGGAGAAGCTTAATTTAAAACATTTACAAATCCTACTGACCCCAAACCTTTGAACAGTAGTTTATATCAATATTTTAGTTGTTCAAATAAAGAAAATGACATTTAACACATTTGACATATGTGGTTATTGATGAACATAGGTGTACCCAAAACTCTTTTTACCTACTCATATCCTCAAATACTTCACTCATGAAGTCATGAAAAGATGATCCAGTTTCAACATGTTAGCTGAATAAACTGTTCGACCAGGAAAGTCCCGTGTTCATAAACATGTTCAGACTTTACAATATTTCATTACTCAATTTTAGTTCTGGTCCTCTGATTTGGTTGGTTAAGCGTTGTTTCAAGAGTGCTGATAAATGCATTGCTCCAGGCACACTGTCAGTCTTGATGTTAGTGATGGGAATTTTGGAAATTTCAGCTTTGGTGAGCAGGAGAAGCTTATTTTTAAATATTTATACATCCTACTGACCCCAAACTTTTGACCAGTAGTATATATATATTTTTTGTTGTTCAAATAAAGAAAATGACATTTAAGACAGTAGACTTATAATAAAGTTAAAAAAGAGATGTAAAGTTATAAATATAATACACATCTTTCTATACAAAAGTAATTAATTGTTATTGTTCTGAATTGAAGGTATTGTTGATCAAACACTGAAAATCGCTTCCTCTTCAGTTCAAGTCACTATCTAGGGCTGTGTTATATTGAAGAAAAATGCAATACACGATAGCATGCTAAATAATGCATTATCAATATTTTATATATTTATAAAATATATAATAAATATAAACATTTTACTAGTTATGTATCATTCATAAATACAACAAAAGCAATATTATAAAATATTATTACAATTTAAAGTATTTTTTTTTTCAATGTAACATTTTATGAGTGCATTTTATTCCTGTGATGCCAAATCTGTCTTAACAGTCATTATTGCAATTTCCAGTGTCACAACTTTATTATCCTGATTTGTTATTTTTCTAATATTACCTTTAAAAATAATACCATTGTCTACTTTTTTATTCTGAAAGCAGTTACTTGAAAAAGATAGCATTGGTAAAAGAAACATCACTACAACTTCTGAAAGTAAAAAACCATGTTTTACCATTGCATAAAACAAATAGCAGACAAGATATTTAACAGTGATAAGCAGGAAATAAGCCGAAGGACAGTGAGTGATTGTTGTCATCATGTGACTACATTGTCTGATGTGCTGAAAACTCTTTCAGAGGGTGTGCAAATGACAGGCACAAAGAGATAAGAGTTTTAAATAGCTCATTTATTGCAAACCACTGCTGTATGCACATACAGTATATTGCACAGCCTAATCCATCACTGTTTAAGGGTCACTTCAATGGGACTGAAAGATAACTTTATACACGATTTAAGCGACATGTGGATCAATCCATGACCTGTCTATGCATGCATTCTGCTGGGTGTTACGTACTGTATGTTTAATAATGCAGTTAAAAGTTAAGATGATCTGTTTGGCACAGTCTGGAAGACTGATTTCAGGTCAGTGTGAAAAGGTTTTGTCTTAATACAATGAGTGATAGTGTTGGCCTGCACAGACAGGCTTTACACGCAGAGACACTTTGTCAGCACAAATGAATCCCATAGCCTGTTCATAATGCCTTCCAACTCATTTAAACACAGGTCTGTATTCACACAAATCACCTTTTTAGCTGAGAACTGAACTCTTTGATGGTAGAAATTTGAACCTTTTGTCCCCTTTACAATCTCAAGTTCTCTCACTTTTTCTTAACTTAAAGGCTCTTTATGACATGACTGCATACAATATTTTTTTCTTTTTAAGAAAGTTTGATAAAAATATAAAATAGTCCAAAATTGAATCTGTATGGCTGTGCAATATACTGTACCCATAACTAGCATTTGAAGCATGCGGCTAGTAGTCAGCTAAGCATAAACACTCATATTTAGCTAGCTGCTAGCTTATTGGGCAGTACTAGGTTTTCTTCCAGCACACAACTGGTCAAACAGTTAGTAGACAGAGCTTAACAAGCCAAACCCAAGGGTATAAATGCACATGCTAGCAGGCTAACAAGCAGGAGGAGTTAATGAATTGCTAAGGCAACTAACAGGCAGGTTGTTGTGGTACAATGAGTGCCTATGGCAACTAATAGGCTAAGTCTTACATGGGAAACACACAAGGAACAGCAAGGAGGACTAAACACAGGGAGCAAGGTAAAAAAGACTACAACAGAAATCTTCAAAACATAGATTCAAGACCATACCACATTGCAAACTTTTAGTGCTGCATTGTGTTATGGTTATTTTACCTCTATGTTTATGCATTTTGTTAACATGGTTTACTTGCCTTTTGTTTTGAGCTTTGATGCATGCAGGTATCATCTTATTATGGTGCAAACAAAAATTAAACTGTAATGTGACACTTTGCCCCAACCATGTGACTCTAGACATGTTATTTGAGAATAAAAACTTTCCATTTTTGCAGGAAATGCATCTAAAAATCAGCTAGTGACATTTTGAGTTTCATCAATGAAACCTTTATGGTCACTATTGTAATCCATGGAATTTAATTTAGTTATTGATCTATAAACAATTATTAAAATTATATATAGAAAGATATTATAAATACAATAGATAGATAGCTATCTATCTACAGCTATAATTAATAGCTGTATTTTTTCCATAAAGGATGTCTATTTCAGTTGTTTCACTTAAGACCGGTTTAATATAACTGGTATTTAAATTGAAGTTGTCATTCATATTGTTTGTTGCAGTGTGCATTAGCATCACCAATCAATTTTCAACATATGCCCATATCAAGCTAGTTTTTGATAATTTGAGAAATTCCATTCTGTCTCTTTTGACTGATGAGATTTTCGAAATTTCATCTGATATCGGGACTCTTTTAAAAGGGTAAGCTGGTCCTAAATCAACACAAAACCACACTAACTCTTCCTGGAGCAGTAACCATGATAAAGCTGATCAATTCTTACATCAGGATGCAGTTCTGAAGACCGCTGACACAATTAAGATTTTAAGCTAACTATATTATTCTGTACAGGTAAGCTATTACTGTACAAGGAGGATCAGCGATACATAATGCAAGTCATAGTAATAGTGTGCCTTCCAAATGTTTTGGTTCACTCTTGATAATAGACAGAACGCTTCCTGATTGGCTGCATTCCTGCATGACACGCTGGCTGTGTCAACATACCTAATGAAAAAAAAAAACGTCACTTGTAGCATGACTTGTTCTATACCTCTTTCACTTATTTGAATGAGAATGATAGAAACAACTCGCATACAGTTATCAGCAATACACAGGTAGGATTATAAATTTTAGATTAGGTCTTTATTATGTCTTGCTATTTAAAATTTTTATACTTAACTTGCAAATAAAACAGGGATTGAAATAATGTAATTTAACAAACTAAGGTGAGCTAGGCTTTTTCACTGGCTTTAACACACACAGAGAGACACGGTGAGAGCAGAAACTGGAACCAGTAGGTGTGTCTGGAGACAGTGATTCAACAGTTGATAAAAGATACACAAAGACCCCATTGCCAAAGCACTCATTACGTTTTATGAGTTCACCTTCATTACCTGGGCAAAGTTAAACATTCTCTATAAATGCTTAACGCTGTTGGGAGAAACTAGTGTAGTGAAACATGCTGGTGTTATTGTACAGGCTTTGAAGTTTCATACACTTTAAGGTGTTAAAAGTTGAATAAAATGCTCAAAATGTCTTCAGAAGTTAAAATGAAGACATAAATGTACCCAATGTATGCAGGAACCTGTTGTGTGAGCTTTTTGACTGGAGCAATGTGAATGCTGAGTGTGGTTTCAGGAAAAACTGTGTTGTTGTACAATAGCCTGCAGTTCTCTCAGCTTTTTAGAACTGGTTTATCAGGAATCTACTACACAGTTTAACCAGCAAAACAGACATTGCCACTAGTGTCAGCTGTGCCTAAGAATTCAGTCACTTTAATGTAGACTGAGTTAAAATAGCTCACGCTTTATACTTTTTTGTGTTTTACAGACCGCTCAGAAAGAAGTAAACCAGAGCGCTTGCAAATAAGGTAAGATCTCTGCTACTGTAAATATGGAAGCCATTTTCACACCCTCTGAGAACTTCGAATGAGATGTAAACATAAACAAGACTCTTATATTATCCACAGATAGAATTTAGTTGCTGAGTCTATAATAGTCTTTGTATTTTGTATTTGAACATTGTGTTTGAATTGTGCGATGATATAGACGAAGAAATAGAGAAAGTATTTAAGACTTTGTTGCTGTCACAAAGAAACACTGATTCAGCATATTTAAAATCTGGTCTAGTTTGGTGCTACACCGAATTCTCATCATCAGTGTTAGGGGTTGGGAACTTGAGGCACCTCACGATTAGATTAGATTACGATATACAGAGTTGTGATGTGATTTCTTAAACGATTAAGCGATTTTGTTTCATACTGTATGTATTAAAGCAAGTAATTGTAAACAACCTTAATGCGCTACTGGTATAATCTGATTCAATGATATATGCTAAGCTAAGCTAAAAGTGCTCCTGCCAGACTCAGAGTTCGACTGAAAAATTTATAAAAATGGGAAAACAGGTGGTTAACTGTTTTACTCTAGGGGGCTTGTAAAATAAGTCCAAGTAATACATTTTCCAAAAAAGTGGAGTGTTCCTTTTTAAGACAAAAACATTTTAAAAGTCCTACCAAAACATGGGAACTCAGTCGACTTATTTTAAATATTATTTTGATTATGTAACTACAATACATAGCTGATATTATTCACAAAATAATAAAGAGTCTAAGACTTCTGACTTTAAACGAAATCCTCAGCATAGGGTTGTAGTGAGTGGAGACGGGAGGACAGATAAAACTGAGGTTAATTAAGGCACATGGAAAATTACATATTATAAATAGTCTAGCCTTTATTGTGACCAATGTGTTTATGAAAACACAACGAGACAATACTCCAAAAAAATAACTTAATATAAAATATCTTTATTAGTTTAAAAGTCCAAAGATGTCACATTTGGCCCATTTGAATACACCTAAAAAGTGTTCTAATGATGCTCAAGAATCACAAGAACATGTTGATGTTGTTCTGAAACAGAATAAATGCTTTTTTTTCTTTTTTCATTTTTGTCAAGTCATCTATTATATTCTATAGCTTTCTGGGGTGGAAATATATATTTAACATTTTTTGGAATAACAAAAAATGTTTTGTCATGGATCCCAGTTGTAAGAGCAACAAATAATAACTTGATTTCTAGTTGATCATTTGGGAAAATGGCAAAAGGTAGATTTTTCCAATGAATAATCTGTTTAAATGCATCTCAATCATAACAAATACTGCAAAAGGCCTACTGGAACCCGCATGGACTCAAGATTCTCACAGAATCTAAGTTTCAGTTTAGTAAAGGAAAAATCATGATTTGGGGTTACATTCAGTATGGGGGCGTGTGAGAGATCTGCAGAGTAGATTGCAACATCAACAGCCTGAGGTATCAAGACATTTGTGCTGCCCATTACTATACAAATCACAGGAGAGAGATTCTTCAACAGGATAGCGCTCCTTGTATTTTACAAGGAATACCCTTCACATCAAAATTCCTGAAAGCAAAGAAGGTCAAGGTGCTCCAGGATTGGCCAGCCCAGTCACCAGTAATGAATATTATTGAGCATGTCTGGGGTAAGATGGAGGAGGCATTGAAGATGAATCCAAAGAATCTTAATAAACTTTGGGAGTCTCGCAAGAATGCTTTCTTTGCCATTCCAGATGACTTTATTAATAAGTTATCATTATTAATAAAAGAGTCATTGCAGAGATGTATGGATGCAGTCATCCAAGCTCATGGGAGTCATACACAGTATTAATTCTTTTTACACTGCACCATGACTTTATATTCTATACTTTAGCTTATTTCTGTTCAGTGACCAGACTTTTGTCTAAGCAAAGTCAGACCTTACTGTCCTAGTTAATTAAAAATCAAGGCATGATCATATTTTATTTTGGTACAATAAGCGTAATCTCGAGGCCTTTGCCTTTCATATAAGCCACTTCTGATACCAAATGATCAAATAAAAGTCAAGTTATTATTTCTTAAACTTGGATAGGTAACAAGATTTTTGTCAGATAGTGTACTTTGTTCTGTTTAAAGCATTTAATGTATCATATATGCAGTTAAATATTAACACGTTTGCTTAATTGGAAATAACATACATTTTTACCTTGATTTATGTTTCATCACAAATTGAATCTCAAAAATGAATTTTTGCTTAGGTGAGACTCATTTTACAGTCACCTAGAGAGAAAAAATATAAAAATCTGTTCTTAAAGGGCCAGTTCATCGTTTATTCACCCGTATGCCTTGCCAGATCTGTATGACTTTATTTTTCTTTTTTTAATATTTCAACATTTTTGAAGAAAATTGGTTAATATACAATATCAGTTCCCACTATGGAAAAAAAATCTCAGAAATTTACAAATATGAACTGAAATTTAAAAAAAGAGTGCTATAACATTCTGACTATGCATATATTGTACATTTGCTAAGGTAAATGACAACAACCTTAAATCATCTTTTTGCTTGTTTGATGTTTTATTTTTTAAATCACTGTTTAATGTCAACAGCAATAGACAATCCAATACATTAATCAACTGTTGACAGAACTGATGAATTGTTGTTCTTTTTTCTTGCTGAGCTATTGATTCCTGTACAGTGGGAGACATCAAGGGTGTGAATCTAAACATGTCAGCTGGTTCTCATTTAAAGCTAAGCTAAAGCTGTGTGCCTGCTGGCCTAGCCTGACTCTTTCACACAAACACACACACACACACACACGCACACATACACGCATACTCACTCTGCTCTTATGACACATCACTTCAGCTATGCAGAGAGCAAAAAGCTTCAAAACGTCCACATAGTCAGGAAGTGAAGAAAAGTTTTGAGCATGAATGATCACAGAGATTTTATCATTAATCTAATTTGATTTAATTGATTCCCTTAACACTTCATATATCTGCTAATGCCAGGTATGAACTGTATCTTTGATGTCTCTTCATTTTACATTTATTGCTAATGCTCTTTTTATTTGTCTTTTGTTCGCTCTGTCTTCTCGAGTTCAGTTTCTCTAATTTAGTGTTATTGTTCTGTTTCACTGTGCCGTTTAATGCTTGACCTGGTTCATGGAGGATACAGTGGAAATAAGCAATAAGTTTTAAAGAATGAGAGATGTAGTTGAATAATTCAATCAAAGTTTTGTCAATGCAACAAAAGTTAACATTTCATCTGTGAGAAATAACTGTCACCCTTATTTGTTGAAGACTTTGTTATAATAAAAATCATAGTTAGTCATAAGTAACTTAACATGGTATTCAGTATACTGTATCTCCACTTTCTACCAGAAATTGAATAACCACAATAAAAAAAGATTTTCTTACTTTTTTTGTTGACTCTTTTTTCACTTCTTTCTTACTTGCGTCTTGCTGCTGGTCTAAATTTCCAAAACGTCTTAGAGCAAATAAAAATATTGTTTTGTTTTCATCTTCAGAAGAAAAAAGTCAGAAGAAAGAAGAAATAAAATTTTTTTTCTTCAAAGAAGCAAATCATCCTTCAGTGGAATAAACTAATATATATTTGGGCTAGAAAGAAGACAAAAATTCTAAGAATAACTTTTTTGCATTAATCATATAAATTTCCTATAAATAAAGTAATTAAATACAATTTTGTAGCTCTTGTTCAATTATAATTAAAACTTAACAATGCATATCTTGTGATGTGTCTATTGCAAATGTGCACATTGTGATTTCGAGACTGAAACGATACAATGTGCAGCCCTAATTCTGAGATTTTTAAGAATCTGGTGAGAATTTTAAGATTTTGAGTTTTTGCACAAATCTGTATGTTGCAAATAAGAATTAAATATAAAATAAATGTCCCAATATCTACACAACAACAACAACAATTGTGTTGTCACAGAATAAGAAATTGTGAATACATTTTGAGAAAAAAGTCAGGTAGAAGCAGTGATATATTGATCAGCTGATACGTGACGATACCTGGTGACGATGTGTTAAACATGTTTAAAATATTTAGGGATTTTATGATATTTTTAAAAAAGAATCTTTTCAGCTCACTAGGGCTGCATTAATAGGAACAACAGTAATATGAAACATCATTACAATTTAAAGTTACATAATTTTTTAATGCAGTTTATTCTTGCAATCCTGAGATTTTATTTTTATTTTTATTTTTTTTCAATCCGAAAATTAACTTTTTTGAAAACCTTCTGGTTTGTTGACTTAGTGCTCAAAAGCATTTATTCTTATTGGCAATATTGAAAAGAACTAAACTGTGTGTGCGTGCGTGCTTGCGTACGTGCGTGCGTATGTTATAAATGATACACAAAGTGACAACAAAGACTGTTTTATTGTTACAAAACATTAAGTCTCAAATACATTTATGTATTTGTTTATTTATTTATTTTTCTTTAAGTAGAACATTTAAATATCACCATTTATAGTAACAATAAAACTTTGCTGTCACTTTGTGTATTTATATTAGTCAATTAGTCATTTTTCAATAGCATTCCTTTCAACCCAGTAATTTCACTGGTAACTGATCATTTGTTCTGTGTGTGTCATATTGTTTTGTTCTGTTTACATTTTTAGTCAAGGACCTCTTTCTTCAATCAAAGCAGCCATCAAGAGAAGTAAGAAATTAACTCTTATACATGATTGTTTGGTTTTTACATTTATATGTAGCCAAATGTGTTATGAACCACTGAATGCTGTCAAATCTTCTAGCCTCTGCAAAAGCTCTTCCTCAGCCAGTCTGCTCCAGAGAAAGAAGGTGAGTGTGTTTGAATCATTTTCGCTATTTTAACACTTAGTTATTTTAAAAAGGAATATGCCAACAAACTTGAGTTCTTGTTAGCCTTGTGACTAAATACAAGTCTTTGTCAAATTCCACCATAAATATTTTATTATTATTATTATTATTATTATTATGTAATTGAAAATAGCTAAATGATTTACGGAGACCAAATATTTGTGCATGATTGTTGTATTGCTATGATTTACTGTAGTCCGTTCCTGGATGTTCATAAGAAATCTGTTGTTGATATCAGGAGGCCAGAGATAACCATCCTATCAGCAGAGCCGTTTGCAGCTTCTTGGTATCCTGTGCCATCTGGACGGTTTTCATCTACCGCTTTTACCACACAACCAGTCTGGAGTGAGAATGCTCTGACCTCTGCGCAGGTACAGTGATTTATTGCGCTTTATCTAGTTCAACAGCTGCTTAACACTTGTTCCAGACACGTGTGTGGATTCTCTGTGTTTACTTGGCATGTCTTTGTTTTCACTTTTCAAAGCATGGTCACTTTGAGTTAATACAGACTAACACGTGGAGTATTAACTTACTAATTAACCTGTGCGATTACCTTACTAATTAACCTGTGCGATTATAGAATGAGTTTTGAGGATTTCCACAGGTAAATAAATATGACCCTTTTTTGATGATCTCAGATTTGCATTTATATTGAGCACAATTGTGTTAGTCTCATACTAAAAGGATTTGGATTATATTTTAATTCTAATGAATTATGCATGTATTCAAGATAATATTGAGTGGCTTTAAAAGTTATAGACATATTTTGAAAGTTTGTGTTGTATTATGGTTACAAAAATAGTATACATAGTTGTAATACTGTACATGGTAGAAATGTTGAACATTTCCGAGCAACACAGTGCTGTTTTGTTACTAAATGAAATAGACTACAACACTATTTATAAGCATTTTCATTGTTGATATCCGATATTAGGCAGCGCTGATGTATAAAATATGTGATATAGCCTAATAAATATATATATATATATATCCAGTTGAAGTCTAAATTATTAGCCCCCCTATAACTGTTTTTCCTTTTTCAGATATTTCTGATGTTTAACAAATTTAGGAATTATTCACAGTATTTCCTGTATTGTTTTTTTCTTCTGGAGAATTATTTATTTTATTTGTTTTATTTTGTCTAGAATGAAAGCAGTTTTTAATTTTTTAAAACCTTTCTAAGGTCAATAATATTAGCACTATTTTTTTCGATTCTCTACAAAACAAACCATTGTTAAATAATGACTTACATAATTACCCTAACTTACCTAATTAAAGGTGCCATATACTGCTTTGGTTTAATAAGTTAAATTTTTTTCTGATGTATACATAGTCGGTTTATGGCTTCAGTAAGTTAAAAAAAATCTCCAGAAATGGTTTCATGAGCTCCTGTATTACTCCATAAAATACTATTAGAATCAGAGTTCATGATTAACTCTTTATGGTTTGTGTTGTGAATATTAATGAGCTCCGCTCTGACGTGCTGCTCTTACACACACACACACACACACACACACAGAGCAGAGACAAATATAAACCCAATCAGAATAACGGTAATCTATTTTGCTCACCAGATTTGTTGTGGATAAAGGCTAAATTCTAATAAAACTTAACAAAAGAGAGTCATAGAGATGTATCATGTTGTATTTTGAAGCTAAATTTTTAAAGAAAACAGCCAGAACTTAGTATCAGCCTGTGCATGAACATATGACAGTTGAGCTAAGTGATTTAACACAATTCAGCAGTGTTTGTTAAAACATACATCGCATCACATTTCACAATAACCACGGTCAATAACCAAAAGATGTAACTAAACATACCTTGTGCCTCTTCTGAGTGGAGATGAATACATGTGTAAATCTTGCAGTTTGCATTCTGAAGCAATTTTAAAAATGCCTCGTGCGGTTGTTGCCCAGTAACTCATAGTAAACAAATTGGGGCTCACGTTTTCAAAATAAAAGTCATAAATGCATTCTAAGTGAAATATACGCTTCAAATAACTAAGGGAGGAAAATTATCACTGTTATATGACAAGAAAACGTTTGGCTTATCAAACGCATCCTGCAGCTTGCACATTAATGATTTCAGAGCTTTTTTATGCTCTCAGCTGCATATGAGTTGGTGCGCACTTATTGACGTGACCGTTCATCAGGTTTGGATAAATGACCTAAATTAGTAGAAATGTCAAAATTAATAATTTCTTCTGTGCACTGCGATGCAGACGTAGAAATTAAGTATCAGTTCAGTAATAGATCATTACCAGTTATTTCGTACTGACGTCATTTATCTCATATCCGCTATATTGGGGCGAGGGAGGCGAGCGAGAGTAATTAAAACGCTCCAACTACTTAAAAACGCAGAAACTGTGCACAATTCACTGCCTGTGTGTTTGCTAGACACAGCAGAAGCCCTTGCTATGGAGAATAGTTTATTTCTCTCTCTCTCTCGACCTTTGACCAGCTGGCATGAGGTAACTTTTCCTCTCCTCTCGGCTGTTATAGCAATACTTGTTGATCCATTGCAGTCTCCATAGCGAGTTTTCTCCTCCGCATCTATCACGGATCAGCTGTGATCAGCACTGCTGTTCATCAGTGCTTTTCAGCTGTGAACAGTGCCAGAGCTAATCATAGCCCTTTCTGTTAAGTGTGTGATCAATCATATCGCTGGGTTCTCGGATCATATGCCTGTACTTTTTGAGATTGAGGTTCCGGGTGTTTTTAATACAGATGAAACATTTGTCTCTGCCAGACCCTTTCGTATTATCAACTGCTGCCCAGGTCACTTCTGTTTTTAACTCTATCTGTGTTACACCCGAGTCAAGGGACACTAATGAGCCTAGCTCTTGGTTGCATAACACTACTCAAATTGCTATAAACTCTGTGGCATCGGTAAAAATCAGAGAGCCCAAAACCAAATTTGAACCTTGGCAAAATAACACATCTCACGCCGCTAGACGCGAGTGCCGTAAAGCGGAGCGCAAATGGAAGAAAGACAATCTGTACGTGTCACTTCAAATTCTCAGAGACTCCTGGCACCGTTACCAGATGGTTACAAAAGAACCAAAGAGGAAATTCCTTACAGAAATCATTGTATCAAACCATAATAATCTCGGGTCCTGTTCAGGACTATTGACTATGTTCTCAACATTCCACAAACTCTGTGTTGATGCTCACATGCCACTTGTGAATGCTTTTCCAACTTTTTAATAAAAAGATATATTCCATCAGGGCCCCTATTTAGCCTGTTGCTAACAAACCTTCTGTTTTCGTACACTGCTCTGCTGTATTTGACAAGTTTGAGCCTGCGACTCTAGATATGCTACAGGATATTGTCTGTCATCTCAGGTTCTCTGCATGATGCCCTTACTCTTCAAATTGTTAAGGAGGCTTTTTCCACTCTAGGGCCATCTGTTTTAGCAATTGTAACTAGTAGTTTGTCCTCAGGTGTATTCCCTAAAAAGTTTAAACACGCAGAAGTGCAACCACTGCTCAAAAAACCTGGCTTAAATACTGCAGACCTAACAAATTGTAGCCCTTTTTTTCTAACTACCTTCTCTGTCAAAAACTCTTAAAAAAGTAGTACACGATCAATTAATAGCTTTTCTGGAAAATTACAAGTTGCTCGAAATTTTCCAGTCTGGTTTTAGGGCCTTACATAGTACTGAACAGGCTCTATTGAAGGTGTTTAAGGTGTATTCTTTAGTCACTGATTCTGGGGAGTGTGTTATCTTTGTGCTTCTTGACTTAACTCCCACCTTTGACACTGTGTATCACAAAATTTTTTAATTTTCCGATTGGAAAAGTGGGTGGGCATTAAAGGGCTGGCGCTTGAGTGGTTTAGGTCCTATCTGGAAGGACGGACGTTCACCATCAGTATCGGGGATCATGTCTCTTCCCCTGCCACCCTGTCTCATGGGGTCCCTCAGGGCTCAGTATTGGGCCCTCTTCTTTTTTCCCTCTATCTATTCCCCTCGGGTCAATAATTAGTAGGCATGGCCTGGCCTGTCTTTTTACATGTACGTTGACGACACCCAGATCTACGTCCCCATTAAAAAAAGTGAAACTGTCAGACCACTCCTTCAGTGTCTAGATGACATAAAGTCCAGGATGGCCCTTAATTTTTTAAATGTCAATGAAAAGAAAACAGAAGTCATGGTTTGGGGGGATACTACTGTAGCTTCCATGGTTAATCTGAGTGACCTAGCACAGCACATCAAACCAACCATCACAAATCTTGGGGTTCAACTCTATCCTGACCTAAAGTTGGACAGCATTATAGGGGCAGTGGTCAAGGCAAGCTTTTTCCAGCTGAGACAACTGAGGAAAAAAAAGCCATTTTTGTCAAGACAGCAATTTGAAACTGTAATCTATGCCTTTGTTACCACCTGCCTGGATTACTGTAACTTGCTTTACATCGGGATAAGTGGGTCTTCTGTGGCCCGTCTACAGCTAGTGCAAAACGCTGCAGCATGCCTTTTAACAGGGAGTCGTAAGTTTGATTATATCACCCCGATTTGATCCACACTAGAATTCATTTTAAAATTCTTTTATTTGTTTTTAGATCCTTAAATGGTTCTGCCCCGCACTTTGTATCCGAACTGCTACACCCCTACATACCGTCGCGTGCTGTTAGATTAGCAGATCAGATGCGTCTTAAGAATCCCAAAAACTAAACGTAAGTGAGTGCTGTACCTCCTTACATCAGGCAGGACCCTTCCCTGTCTCGTTTCAAATCACAACTCAAAACCTACCTTTTTTCCCTGGCCTTTGTTACCTGATACCTTATGCGTGCAGTGTTTTACTACTTTAGTTGTATACTATGTGTTTTGTGTGGTTAGTGTTTAATTTTCATTTTACTGTTCAGCACTTTGGTCTGCTTTTTGGTGGTTGTGAAGTGCTTTATAAATAATGTTGAATGAATGAATAAATCATAGGGGTGTAAGAACTTGATAAGGCTCAGAAAGCGAACGGGATATTTATGTTTGTTATGAATGATCATGTTGTTCTGAGCATGTTCTTGAGTTTTTAAAGGTTCAGTTCATAAATCTGACGGCTTTTATTAAAGGACAAAATTGTATTACAAATAATATATAAATATATTTATACATTTTAAAACAAGAATTGTTTTGCTGTGAAGTAAAATATCAAATTGTGTATGAAAAGCATTGTCAATGCACCGAGATATCGAATTGAACCAAATGAATGGCATTATAATCATAACTGAACCGAACCGTGGGACCATTGTAGGTTCACACCCCTGCCATCATGAGATATATATATATTAATAATAAAATAACTATTTGTCCACTCATCTGTGCTATAAATGCAAACTCTGTATGAATCAAATGATTTCAATCCTTTTTATAATCAAAATTGCTGTATTTTGCGTATCTCCTGTTCAACAGTGTAGGAGTGTAGAAAGCGAGCTGGGGCAGCACTAAGCTGTGCCTCACGCACCCTAAACCTAACCACTGCACACTGGCCTGAGCTCCTGATTTTTGCTTGCTCAGTGTATGCTACCAATGTAACGCTTTATTCAAATATTTTATACATTTTAGACTTTTTTTATCATGTTCTCACTTTCAATATAATAGGTCAAGTATTTCACTTATGTCTATCACTTTTTTAGTGTTAGAATCGGACATACAGCTGCACTGAAAAGACATGAGGTGAGGCAGGCAGTAGCTCTGCCGCAATGAAAAGAGCACACATGAGCTCACAGCTATTCTTGTTCGCTGGTTGCTCTTCTACGCAGTAAAGTTTAATAGGAGTCTGTTATTTTATGTTTTGCTCTGATTGACTGCAAAAATCCTGGATGTGACGTTAATATCGTGGCTCAAAAATTTCTCGGAATTAGACTTTTAATCAAAACGTGAATAAATAATAGATGACCAATGCAGAAGCTAAAGAGCTTGCTTTAAAGGACGGGACAGAAGATAACTCTATCATTTCACACTAATTCAGGTCATTCAATTTAAACGTACATGGACACAAATCGTGTGTGTGTGTGTGTGTGTGTGTGTGTGTGTGTGTGCGTGTGTGTGCGTGTGTGTGCGTGTGCGTGTGCGTGCGTGTGCGTGTGTGTGCGTGTGTGTGCGTGTGCGTGTGTATATAGGCATATATGCAAATGAGGAGAGTTTGGCCCGTAAGTCTTGTCAGAGTTTGTTTTGTGTTCTGATTCACTCGTTGTCCCCCGGGGTTTTACATTCGTGGAATTTACATGAAAACAAGGAAACGGTGATGTTTGAGACTCACAGTATGCCCATTTCCATACACTGATCTTTTATTATTCTACTATGCCTTAGTATACCCAGATGTTCCTATTTACCCTAGTTATACTAGTATCTTATATTTAGTCAAATAGTATGTACTGTCATCATGGCATTGATAAAATAAATCAGTTATTAAAAATGAGTTATTAACAATATTATGTTTAGAAATGTGTTGAAAATATAGATATTTTTCCATTAAACAAAAATTGGGGGCAAAAATAAACAGGTGGCCTAATAATTCAGAAGCAGCTAATCATTCTGACTTCAACTGTATATTGTGCATTTTTTTTTCAATATTTATTCTCTAGGCATGTGTGTTTTCTGCATACTTGTGACGTGTTTGCTTGGTTTGCTGCTTGCGTTTGAGTGATTTCTGTCTTTGGTGCTTCAGCTGCCACCATCCTATGAGCAGGTGATCAAGGAGAAGACCCAGGAGCAGGTCACCACTCCTTCACCATCTCTACGACACTCGTACACTACAACTATTGCAACACAGACTGACTCATTAGAGGAGAATGTCACAAGTCCAGATTCCTGTACGTCCTTACAACAAAACCAACAACCTGCTGGTGAGTCCTTATTCAAATATTGTACATTTGGAGTGTACAATGGAATTTTTAGAACTCATGGATGAGAATTAATGTTATAAAGTCTTTTCTCCCTGACTCTTTATCACTCCTTTCTGCTTTAGCCATGAGCGAAACGTGTGTTATCGGTGTACAGGAGCGCATTTAAGGCGCGCGGGAATGGTTTTGGAGATAGATTTGAGAAGATTTCTTGCATAAAGAAATTGTATCTCAATGCTTTTACCGGGGGACTTTTTTTTTGGCACTTTCTCCCCGTGCCGCTGCCAACAAGATGATCGCCCATATTGCTCATGCCTAATATGGATGTCATGGACTGGTTGTCATGGATGGGTAAACAAGAACTCAGTCAGTTAAGAACCCGGGTCATTTTTGACTCAGATATAAAAGTTTGACAAACAAGTAAACTAAGAAATGTTAAAGACCTTTCTTTTTTTTTAAGACTTGGAGACTGTTTTTCACGCTTTTATCTCTTAAGGGCTTGATTATTGTAATGCACTGTACATCAGCATCAGTCAGTCATCACTCTCGCGCTCATGGCCCATTCACACAGGGCGTCAGCTTCAACGCTTCCCATTCACTTTGAATGGGTCATGTCAAGCGTTGCCGAAATGCATTGTGGATTCGTCGGGACTGCTTTAGAGGCGTTGCTCGCTGCAAAAGTTGGGACTTGCCCAATTTTTAAGCGCCGATGGAAGCGTCAGTCATTTAGATAGCTGTATGCAAATACAATAGCTCAGATAGTGGCCTATTGCTGACTAATTTCATTGGCTGACGCTGCTATGATGATCGCGTTAGCCCTAACTTCAGACACTCCATCTTTCAAGCGTTTACGCTGAAGCCCTGTGTGAATGGCGCGTTACAGATAGTCCAAAATGCAGCAGCCTGTTTTTTTAACCCTAGGCCTCTCTTCACTGGCTCCCTGTGAAGCAGAGAATTGATTTTAAAATTTTAATGTATGTATTTAAAGCTCTACATGGACTTACCCTGGCCTATATATCTGAACTCTTAAGTTTGTATTCTCCCCAAAGATCCCTCAAGTCCTTCGCTCAGGAGACAGAACTTTTTCAGTCTATGCTCCAAAACTTTGGAACACATTACCTCTAGAAATTAGGGCCTCATCTTCATTAAGTGTTTTTTTAAAAATCAGTCAAAACCTACCTTTTCTCTCAGTTATTGTTGTTGTTATTGTTATTGTTGTTGTTATTATTATTTTTAGGACTAAAATAATTTTTTTTTTTTTTTGAGCATATATTGTCCTGTCTTATTGTTTACCTTACTGTTTATTATTGTTGCCATGTTTGTGAAGCACTTTTTGGTCAACATTCACGTTGTTTTAAGGTGCTATATAAATAAAGTTGACCTTGACTTAAGGGGAATTATTTTTTCTTTAACAGTTTTAGTGAAGCAGCCAATAAAACCACCTCGTCCAACATTACCTTGTAAACCCAAACCCCTCCTGCAAGAAACTACCAGATCTTCAACATCCACTTTCATCTCCCAACCCACTGTTGATCAAACCCCAATCCAACGTCCAGTGCCTCAGCCTCGCACCAAGTTCAAGCCCCTGAGTCCATCTAACCAGGTCACTGGGCAAACTCTGATACCACTGCAAGACAGCTGTGACACTATATCCCTTGTGGAGACCTTTGAATCCCATTCAGGCAAGTATCTGAAGGAACTCGTAGATGTCCTCAGCTCCGAACCTCAAAGTGAACTGAGTAACCCTGTAAACAATCAGGGAGAGCAGACCAACCTAACTAACGGGAACCAAATTGAGAACATGACCTTCCACCACAGCGACCGCAACATCCGCTCAAGAATCCAAGCCTTTGAAAGTCAAGCTGCCACAGAGAATGATGCAGCCTCTGTGCCTTTTCCACGTCCACGAAAAATTGGTGCTAAACCACCTATTCTGGCACCAAAACCCTCCATTGCCCCACGGCCCTCAGTCATAAAGCCTAAAGAAGAGCCGTTTTCACAATTTGACAGTCACTTATATGAAGAACTTGACATGGAACCTACACCAGCTCCAAGGCCGCAACTTTTTAAAAAACCATCCTTGGATTCAAGAGAAGAGTCTGACTCTCAGCCTTTTTTCAAAACAGCCCTTACTTCTCGACCCTCATTGGTCAAACATAAGAATGTATATTCCCAAGATGAAGAAGTGGTTGTCAAAGGACCTATTCCACCACTCAAGCCCAGTAAAGACCTGCTGAACGCCAACAATCACAACTCCACTGCTCTTCTGCCTGATCTCACATCCGCAGTGAACGTGCTAAGCAATGACTATGTGGATACTTCCATTAGTAAGTGCAGTTTTTTTAGGAATGCAATACATTGGTAAAAGTACTTTAAATATGCATACGTATATTCATTAATTATTATTAATGTGCCCCACTCACAGACCACTCACCCACTAAACCTGTCCGTCAAGGGGGATTCTCCTACATGGGAGGGAATACACAGGCGGTGACCAGGAGACCCACAGTCATCAGAGTCCCCAGTAAAACTGACAAAAGTAAGTCATTAAAACTAATGGCCAGATGAGATGTCAATGCAGATTACATTGCTGTTGCTTCCCTAATATTTTTTTCTGTGTGTTTTCATAATGGATTTTATTTTGTTTTAAAAGATGCCATTATAATGGAACTCTGTATATACCTAGACATGGCTCTATAATAGGTGTTCAGTACATGACTTACTGTGAGCCTCAAACATGTTCTCATTTAAATACTGTGTAAAATCACAGTGAAAATCATGCTAATAGGAACAAAACACAGACTTTGACGATTAATATGGTATTAATAATATGCCACCCCAGGCTGCGTTTGCTAGGCCTCAACAATCTCTAGTAAGATTTCAACAATACAATGATCTTTTTCCTTATGTTATTGTAATAAACATACCATATTTGTCAGTCTTATTTTGAAAATGGGAAAGGCAGGGAGACTAAAAAGAGCAGTTTATAGAAGCAGGCCAAGATGTCCCTGATGATGTCGATAGCGTAATGAATCAGGTCTATTGCATAGTGGAAGATATAATGCATATGCCTAATGTGAGGGGTAGGTTTAGGCTTTTTGTAGACTTTAATAACACATTAGATTACATTTACCACAATCCTTATACTATTCATGAATTAATTTCACCATATGGGCCAATCAAATCGAACATAGCCTTGCGTTGAGAGGCACCTCTTTTGAATGGTTTGCTAACGGCCATAAGCGTTTTGCACGCTGCTTATGTGCCCTGCGCGCCTCACGTTTTAACCGCCTTCTGCGCCTTGCGTTTTTGTCCTTGCGCAAGTTAAAAAAAAAAATTCAACTCTGAGCAGAAAAAAGAGTGTTACGTCACTCACGTCTGTTTCATTCTCCAATCAAATGAAAGCAGTGGCTGGGTTTCCGTTGAGGTTCCTTGCAGTGTTTATGTTGTCAAGACCGCGCACCTTTTTACTTGTCAACAAAAAGGCAGTGTGGTGCACCTTGCGTTTTTGGAATGTAAAGGCGCGTTCGGTGTGATCGGTCCCTTATAAAACCCTAATATTAGTATTTTTGGTTATGATTTGATGGCTGCAGAATTTTATTATAATCAGAGGTGGGAGTTTCTATTACACATTGACTATCAACTGTATTTAACACTGAAAATTTTTTTATCTCATTTGTTATTTGTTACCACTATTTCTGGTAAAAGTAATGTTAGCTCTTGTACATGTAGCCGAAGTGACTATTAAACCTAAAGGCTCCATATACTGCATTGGTTTAATAAATTTACAAAATTTATATTGGTTCTCAAATTTACAAAATCTAGAAATGATTTAAATGCTCTTTTATTTCTCCATAAAATACATCTAGAATTGGAAGCTCCATATTTGGACCTGTTGTGAATATTAGTTAGCTCCGCACTGACTTAGCTATAATGTCAAAGAAAACACAGCCAGGAATTAAACATCTGCATAAGCAGATGTCATTTAATAAAGTGTATTTCTTTCACTATTGAAGTGATATGACCCAATTCAGCAGTTTTTGCTTGTTGAAACATTCACATTTGACAAAAAACATGTTAAATTAACATAAGATTAAACATACATAAGGTATGTTTAATCTTATGTTAACATTATTCCTCTTTGGAGAGGAGCTGAAAAATTGCCTCAATTTGTAACTTGAGGTGGGCATATTAGTGGTTCCAGGGCATCATATCAGTCTGTATTTTGGCTAGTGATATGATGACGCATCTGTTCATCTCGTCCGGATGACAAGGAATCTGACCTAAAGTACATGCAAATGCTGGGGGCGTGCCCTATGAATCACGCAACAGTCTGCTTGTCTTCTGATGGGCGGAGTTTTACACTCATGCAATTTACATTAGAATGAGGAAAGAATGTTGTCTGAGGCTTACAGCATGCCTATTTCCATATACTGATCTGTTATTATTAATTTATGCCTAGATATACTAAGATTTTTTTTTCATAGGACACTTTTAATAACACCATGTGCATAGGATGTAATTTATTTGCATGTATGATATGGATAGATCATTAAAAATATACCTAGGGCTCTATTTTGACGGTCCATGCGCAGAGTGCAAAACGCAGGGCGCAAACGCTTTCAGGGCGTGTCAGAACGCATTTTTGCTAATTTAAGGAATGGGAAAATGCCATGGCGCATTGTCTAAAAGTGTTGAGTTTATTTTCTTAATGAGTTATAGGTGTGTTTTGAGAATAAACCAATCAGAGTCTCATCTCCCATTCCCTTTAAGAGCCAGATGCGTCACGCCATAAGCGCATTCGTTATTTACAGGACGTAAAGTAAGTCTAAGTGGAAAAACTGAACATTTCACAAGCTAACAGTTAACAGTTAACAATTTTTTTTAACAGAAAACTGTTAAACAGAGCATCTACTGCGTGAGAATGAGAGATATGGATGACTTTCACTTTCGCTCTTTGATAGGGAAACCTTTACGCACAGACATCAGTTAGTCTATAAATAATTAATTGCATTTGTTAAGCACAAATTTTCAGTTCTAATTTCCAGCAATCTAATAAATGAACTATATTAACGAAGTGTGTTTAAAAACCTGAGTTATATCCTAAAACACATGCTGTGCCCCTTATGATCTAAAACCTGACAGGTGGGCAAATCTAAGCTTGTTTTTAATAAAACAAATATAAATATGGATATAATAAATAATACTGCAATAATAATAACATTATACAAAATCAAATTGTTATGAATGAACTGAAAAAGCCTCCAGAGATGAAGAAGACATAAAAGCAGTGATTTTTCATATTTATGTAGACTAGAAAATAATATGTTTTGTAATATTTTAATCCTTTATATTTATATCCTATATCTATTCTTATTATATCCTATATATTTCCTTAATATTAAAATTTTTTTCATATGTAAAGATATTTGCCTATTGCTCTCTTGTGCGTATTAAGCAGTGTGTAAGCTAGGCGCAACTCTGCGCCTAAGTTTAGACCAGGTTTGTTTTGGTCTAATGAAAAATCTATTTTAGTTTCTCAAAATAGTGACGCGCCAGCGGTCCGCCTCAGAACGCCTTCCTTTTTAGACCAGAACGCCTATGGACGCACATATGAGCGCTAATGCATTTGCTATTTAAACAGCATAGCGCAAAGCCTCAAGTCGACTCTTGTGCCAAGCTGAAACTACCAAACAAGTATTGCGCAGTATGATATTTGGATGAAACAAGTTGTCAGCCTTGAGTGCAATCAGCCACAAAATAACTTGGTAATGTAATTACATTTTTAAGAGTGAAATAATTTAAAGTAGGGTATTGATTTTCATTTTTATCATTTAATCACAGTTACTTCTGCTAAGTACTGTACATAAGTTCAACGGTTCAGTATAAATCAGAGATCCAGAGTAATTGCATTTTGTGTTATGCAAATATATTTTGCTGAATAGGTATATTATTCAACTAAAGAAGGTTACATAGGAGTTATATTTTTGTTATTCAGATATTTTGCATACATTACATTGATTTTTCCACTAAAGAAAGTTAGATTTGTCTGACATTTGCACATCCTTAAGAAACAATCAAAGACATGAGAACATGGGTTATGCATAAAATATGGTGTCATTAGTTTGAAACGTTTCATATTTTGATAGATTTACTATGTTTAACATTTCTTTAGTGTTCTTTTTTATATATAAATCTAAAAGGCTCTGATTTAGAGGGACTTGAAGTTAAAATACTTTTAATTAATTGAGTAATTAAAAAAACTTCAGACAAAGTAATTAGAAACAAAATGTAAATACACTTGTAATGATGTCATTAAAAATAAATTACTTTTTTTGTAATAACTTACCTTTCCTAATGATGGGTAGCAATTGGAAGGGTATCTGCTGTGTAAAACATATGCTAGATAAATTGGCGTTTCATTCAGCTAGACTAAGCTGAAAAGAAAATAAATGAATGAAGTAACTTACCAAACACTGCCTGTCATCCATATCATTATGTTGCAATACAATTTCGAATTGCAGTTTTGGTTTCAAATTATGTCATACTTTGTCAGTTACCACAACAAGTAATGTTGCTCATGAGTTTGTTGAAAGTAATCAGAGGCATGTTTACATAAACATGCTTATTAGTAATAGATAAGCAGTGGTTTGCAAAAAATACAAACCTTGTATTTGTTTTACTTTATAAAAAAAGAGAGCTGCAGATGTTGTTTTAAACTGATTGGGTGGGCCATTATTATCTTAACATTATCCTAGTTACATTTGTACGTTGGATCTGCTTAGCCTACACCCTACCTAAATGTTTCATAAGACTTTTATTTTCACGTACACTACCAAAAAGTTTAAAATGTTTTAAATAGTTTTGAAAGCAGCCTCAAACATTTATTAATATCTTATTTTTTATTATTATTATTACTCCCAACAAACAATGAAACAGTGTTTGTGCTTAAATCTTGAAAAATCTTTAACAATTAAATCAGTTTCTGCATTTTCAGACTCTGAAGAGGCAGTAGAGTTTCCTCCTCCTTTACCTGTACAGAAGGCTGTGGGCAGCACACCTACACCTGCTAAAGCCTTTCGTCAAGTAAGACATTAAAGCTGTTCAAAGGGCAATAAACCTTAAAATGTCAACAGAGCTGTAAAGATTATTTTCCTCACTCTCTAATCTACTGAGATTTTGGCATTTGAAACTTGCTTTATTTTGACATTTACTAGAGATGTTAAAGAACACAGAACAAAGAGGGGGGTTTCTTTGAGATATACTCTGTGGATACAGATTTGTCTAGTATGTATAACATTCTCATTATGAGATTAAAATAAACATAGATTAAGATTACATGGATGTATCTACAAGTGTTAAGTTCTATTTGTTTTCTTTCCAAAGAATTTCTTTCCAAATATGTGTTCGAATACTTTTAGTAGTGTGTGTGTGTGGGTGTGTGTGTGCGCGTGTGTGTGTGTGTGTGTGTGTGTGTGTGTGTGTGTGTGTGTGTGTGTGTGTGTGTGTGTGTGTGTGTTATTATTATTATTATTATTATTATTGTTATTATTTTGATGTTCTAATATTTATTCTGTAAAAATAATTCAGTTTTTTTCTGTAAAACAAGCAAAATAATCTGCCAATGTGGGAAGCAAAAAAAAAACTTTTTTTCACTTTGAAATAAGATTAAAATGCTTACTGCATTGGCAGATTATTTAGGTTGTTTTAAGAAAATATTTACTTAATTTTAACATATTATTTCTAAAAACAAGACAATATTTTTTTCTTTTGCTCCCTCATTTAAAACAAAAAAAAAGCTTTTTTATGTATGCTTTTTTTAATGTTTTTTTTTTTCCTCTAGGACCCCTTCAATGTCTCATCTGATATGTCTATTCCTCCACGGTAAATTGATGCTATTTTTCTTCACAGTTGTTCTAGTATGTGTTTGTCAAAAATGGGCCTTTTGAATGTGCTTTATGGGTGTCCCATTTTCATAGCTAACTGGTTTGGCATCATGAGCATCAACAGTGTTTAAACACAGACAACATGTTTGACAACTTTTGATACTGCGTCCTTAAATTTAGCAAAATATTTTTTTAGGCCGAGTGGAGGAAAAGTATTGCCTCCTCGTCCACCACCAGCTAAAACAGGCCCAGGAAGACCACCTCCTCCACAGACGAATAACTCCCAACGGCGACCATCTGATTCAGGATTTTCACAAATAGCTCCATCAAAACAACAGCCATCTCAATGGCAGCAACAAAACCGTAGAGCTTCTAAAAAGGGGCCTGCTCTACCACCAAGACCCAACCCTGGACATCGTCTTTACAACAAATACACGGTCAGATTTTACCTCAATTAATTCTTCATTTAATGGTTTATCGAAAGCTATGAGAACACAGGCTATGTGGGAAAACATGACTCTACCAACATGTTTATTTACAAAATGTACTTGTATATATACAATTCAGAGCGGTTTTCAAATGAAGAGAACACTAGAACAGTGTTTCTCTAACACGTTTCTGGAGGCCACTAGCTCTGCACCTTTTCCACAGCTGCATCCCAAATGGCACACAATACGCACTTATGCATTTACACACTCAACAGCATAGTATATGTATATTGTGTCATCCCAAATGGAACACTAATGACTTTTTGCTAAGCAGAATTCAAACCGTTTCCCAGATGACGTTTGTGGGTTGCCAAATTATTAAAAAAGGTGACCAAACTATCAAATAATACCTGCCTTGAGTATAATTGTATTTTTCAACAAGAGGTGTATAATCTCTCGTAGAAGAATTTTGCTTTCACAATCCAAAATAAATAATGTAATCCAACATCAGTGCCCAAAAGCAGCAGCGGTCGTTGAGTGTGTGAAGTGTCCATCATTCCACACTTTATTTTAATGGTTGAATAAGTGCACTTATTATTTTAAGAGTTTTCGGTAACGCACTACTTACACTATTTATACTACAAAATGACGTAGAATAGTGCATAAGTATGTGATTTGGGACGCACCTCGTGTCTGCTTAACCAAACACCCCTGATTCAGATAATCGGCTCATAAACAGAGACTGAAATACCTGTAATGGGTGTGACAGACAAAGGAGACATCCAAAACATGCAAATTTCGTGGTCCTCCAGGAATGTGGTTGAGAAGCACTGCACTAGAGGCAATAGAACAACTTTTTTTGCATTTTGGCACCCTGCCCACTTGAAAGGGATAGTTCACCCAAAAATGAAACTTCTGTCATCATTAACTCATCCTGAAACTACACATGATCTAAAGCTCAAATCGAACTGAACAACCCAATGCAGGGACATCCTAAAACTCTTAACGTGAAAAAAATTTTAACATATCTAAACCAACCAGAGAAACTCAAATTTCTGTCAAACTTTACTTGTAATTAACCCTGACTACTGTAAAAAGGAATGAGTCCCAATACCATAGATAAAGGAAAAACATCACATTAAGTGTTTTTCCCCATTATATTCCCCGAGGCTTATTGTACCTTAACAACAAGCGGGGAAAATCTGATTTCTATCAAATTTTACTTGTGATTACTACTAACTAGTAGCAAAAGAATTAGCCCCGTTTCCACTGCTAAAGTGAACTATATTGTGTTAAGTGTTTTCTCCTATGTTGTTGTGGGGACATCAGTGACATGCACAAGCACTTTCTTTTGACAGCAATGGTTACTTTATTATAAATAAAATTTGATTTTACAAACAATGTTTTTAACATTTGGTTTTCCTTGGTTGTTGTCAAGTTACTTTAAGTCTTTTCCTGTTATGGACTTCAATGGGGAGAAAACGTTTAACGGGATATTGTTGATTTCATCTAAGAAATTAGGGCTCGTTCAATTGACAATAGTTAGTGTTAATCAGAAATAAATTTGACAGAAATTTGGATCTCTCTGGTTGATGCTTAGGTATATTAAGCCATGTTAAGCTTCCATGTTTTAGAATGTCCCCCAATGAATCGCAAAAAGTCCTTGCTTTGTTATGCCGCGACTGACCACATCTGATTCCAATGTGTAAGGTTAAGAGTAGGTGGTGTTATTTCAAAATGTAAGCATTAAAACCTTTTTAGCATTGACCTTTTAGTGAAACAGTCACATCAATCTACTATAGAGAAAATTTAAGCTGTTTTATTTTTATTGCCACTCACTGGACATTTTACTTTTGGCTTTGAGGCATGCAAGTACCAACAGTATATTTCTTAAAAAAAACACATAATTTGAATGAGCCGACATTGCAGCTTGGACAAATTAACACAATTCTGTGTTTTTCTTTTGATTTGCTTAGCTTGAAGTCCCTCATGGAATTGCTGAGTTTGACTACAATGGCTCTAACACTGGAGAGCTGTCCTTTCAGGTGACCTCAAAGTCAATACATACACTATAGACCCGTAATGTCGTTATCTCAGGTTACTGCTGGTTAATGTGTTGTTCAGCCAGTGAAATTTAGTCATTGGAAATTCTACCATTTCTATCTTTTTATTCCCTACAGAAAAATGAAGTCCTTGTCTTACTTGAGGAGTTAGACAGCAGAACATTTGAATGCCAAGCAGGAAACACCAAGGGCACAGTGCAGAAAAGTCATATGAAGATAATCACACCTTTAACAGATTTATCCAGCAATTCACTACCACAGGTGATCAATATTGACATTAATTCAGTGTTTATTAGTAGTTTTTGTAGTAAGTCACCCCAGAAACATAATTATATTTATTTAAGTACATGGTCCATCAACCTGTATAAGCACATATGACCAACACACTCTTTAAAAAAAAGTTATATATATATATATATATATATATATATATATATATATATATATATATATATAACAATATTGTACCAGTAAATTTAGACCAGGTTTCAGTTGGTCAGAGATGTAGTTTATTTCAAGTGCCTTAATGTAGCATACAATTCATGTTTATTTCTATAGCACTTTTACAATGTAGATTGTGTCAAAACTGCTGAACCTAGAAGATTCTAGTAAATTGAAACTGTGTCAGTCCAGTTTTCAGAGTTCAAGTTCAGCATCACCATCATTATACAATAACTTGCTTAATTACCTTAACCTGCCTAGTTTACATAATTAAACTAGTTAAGCCTTAAATGTCAAATATTATATATCTAGTCAAATATTATGTACTGTCATCATGGCAAAGATAAAATATATCAGTTAAAGGAGTTATTAAAGCTATTATGTTTAGAAATGTGTTGATGAAATCTTCTCTCCGTTAAACAGAAATTGGGGGAAAAAAGAGGGGGGCTAATAATTCTGACTTCAACTTTTTGTACATGGACTGCTGTGCATTTGTGTCATGAGAACTTGAATCTTGATGTATCCATACTGTTAGCTATTTGGCGCTTCTGTTAAAGCCAGGAAGGGGAAATAGATGTTGGGGATGATTTTTTGTTTTTCTGTTTTGTGTAAATCTATATAAATGCTTATAAATAAAGTATTAAACAAAGATTTTTAGTTTAGGAAAGTTTATATATGAAAGCAAGACAGAAAATGTTTTGCGGTGTATGCTGTCTCACAATGTCACCATACTAACATTTCTCTCTATGGGTTTTACAGAAAACCAGTTCCTTTAGAGGAATGGGAGGAAATGCTGGATCTCTACAAGTGGAAGCCCTGTATGACTTTACCCCAGGTGAATATAGACATGCAACTTTATTCTGTGTAAGAAAACAAAAGTCCATTTTCCCAGATAATGTGAATTTAATAATGTTAAACATTAGGGATGCTCTAATTGATCGGCCGAAGTTCAGCATCGGCCGATAACCACATTTGATGACTCGATTGGTACTCGCCATTCTGGCCGATCTCATCACAGGTGTTTAGGAGTTTACAAGTAGAGGAAGATGCACTTGTGCTCCCGTATTATACATGGCCTACAACAGCCACAACACGTTAGAAGGTAAATAATGTGTAGAGACGCGAAAATATATAGAGAAGCAGTGTGACCTCTGTTTATACATTCAATTGGTGTGACTCACGTGAGTGATGGCCTCTTTATTGCAAGTGCATCCATTTTATTCACCATGTTTTGAGCTACTGGGACACGAGCAGTTTGTAATGTTTCTTACCAAATTTTGCATGCCTTATATTATTTTCTGTAAAGCTGCTTCTGGCCATAATATGTTCACACCTAAATGGTTTAAAGAGACGTGTTTAAGGGATTACATGCAACATCCTTGATTCATTTTCTTAGGAAAGGTGAGATCTCCACTTAAGTATCATACTTTGAGGGAAAATGTGCTTTAATGCATTATAAAGCTTGAAGCATTAGAATCGGTTCTCTGTATTGGCTGATCACCATGACAAGGAATCGGTTGATTCTGTATCGCCTGCAAAAATCCAGATCGCAGCATTCCTACTAAACAGTTCTAAAGTAGGAACTAAGGATAATTACTACATAATATACCGTTTCATCCATATTTGTAGGATCAGTTGCCCATTAATTAAGTATATCTTCTTTATGATCAAGGTTAGAAGCGCTTGTGAAACTCTTTCTATAATTCTCATATGTGTTTGTGTCTCAGCGGGGCCAGGAGAGCTGGCTTTAAAAGCCGGTGATGTGGTGTCTAATGTAGAACAGCTGGACGATGATTGGTACATGGGAACATGCAGAAATGCCACTGGATTCTTCCCTATTAACTATGTTAAGGTGCTGGTAAGTGAATTTTTCTCAAAAACAACAGGAGATGCCCCAGTACATTTTGTTAATGTTGTTGTGAGAATTATTTGATACGTTTAATTCCTTTCAAATTGAATGTTAAAGAGAATGTTCAATTAACATCAAATATTTTAATCTAGCTCTTAAATAGGTGGTTATTGTCTTTCTAAATTTCACAAATGCATCTACTGGCAAATTGTTGTGCAATAATATGTTAATATTGGTATTTGTTGATGTAATAAGTCAGTTTAATGTAATTAACTGCAGTACTTAAATTAATCAAGCAAAAACATTTATTTCAGTTTATTAGGTATCATTAGGCTTCCTCCCATTATGGATACTATTCCATAAATGTGACCCTAGACCAGATTAGTATCCATTGTTTATTCATAAACTTTCAATTGAGGTATAGTTTGTTTGGATAGGAGAATATTTGGCAAAGATACAACTAATAGAAATCTGTAATCGGAGTGTTTTTATTTGCATTTAAAGTTTTTTAAATAAAGTGTTATAATGCTTATTACTAATCAAATAGAATTCAAAGTTTTGATATATTTACAGTTGGACATGTACACAATATCTGGAATATGATCTTTACTTAATATTCAAAGATTAAATTTGGCATAAAATGACCCAATGTATTCCCAAAAATATACTTAAACAACATACTGTAAAACTGATTTTTGTCATCCACGGTCACAAATCAGTTTGATTGGGATCTTTTATACTGCTCAGATTTTACAAATACTGTTGTGTTGACAGCATTCACAAGGTCATATATTTAACCCTTTCACATAAGACTTCATAAAGTAAACAAATATCTTTGTTTTATCAATTCAGCAAATCTGTGAACCAACACTTTGCTTTAAAATAGCTAGCTCCTATCGAGAGATTCTTTCTATTAGACAAGCCTTTATTAAGGATATTGAGCAACACGACAAGTGCTGATTCAGCATTCTTAAGGGTCCCATAAAGTGCTTTAAAATATGCATTTTTATTGGATGTTTGATGTAATCTGAACTGAAACATGATGAGAGGGTGGGATATAGAGTGGGAGATCTTTTCTTTTATTATTTCAGCAAATAGGACAGTAAAAAAAAATTTTTTTTACAATGTGAAAAATGTGAAAAGGATCTATTAATAAAAACTGTGACGCACTCACAACTGTGACTCTGACAAAATCCAACAAAATGTGCCTGTAGCCGTCTGTCTGCTTCTGTCATTGCAGTGTGAATTGGCTGTAAAGCTAGTGAATTACATGAACACGCTAAAAAATCTTTAAAAGCAAGCTTCAGTTTTAATCAACTCCGTTTTCTGTCTAAAGTCAAACATTTCTTAAATCCCACTTCACTAGAGATGGCTGTCTACGCGTTTATTACATCACGGTTAGATTACTGCAATGCACTTTACTGTGGCATTTTAAAATCTCAAATTTCTCTCCTTCAGTTGGACCAAAATGCTGCTGCGAGATTTATTTGTAATAACAGAAAATATGACCACATTACCCCTCTTCAAAGGGGCCTTCATTGGCTGCCCGTCCAATTCAAAATTCATTTTAAAGTGCTTTTACTGGTATATAAATCTTTTCATAATCTAGCCCCAATCTCTCGGAGCTGTTGCATTTTTACACTCCTGTGAGACTTACAGGATCTGTAAATGAGTAGATCAAGTCTTAGATCAAGTTAGAGGGGACTGAGCTTTCTCTGTGGTGGGTCCTCGGTTATGGAACACCTTGCCCCTTGAGAGTAGAATGGCTCCATCACTGTCTATTTTTAAATCACTCCTTAAAACATACCTCATTAGTTTGGCTTTTTAAAATTATTTTAATAGTCGTTTTATTTTTATTAGTCGTTTCTCTTGTCTTATAGGTTTTTATATTCTGTCTTTTTATTTTACTTTGTCTTATGTGCAGCACTTTGGTCAGTCTTGTGACTGTTTTTAAATGTGCTTTTTAAATGAATGAACTTGAACTTAAAATAATTAATAGATGTTTCCAAATTAAGTTACAGATTTCTCTTCCTAATATAAACAACCAACCAATGCCAGGTTGGAATAGCAAGACATAATGGATTTTTTCTTGGTACACTGCAGATTTTCAACAAAAATAAATAAACTATTCATGAAAGTGTAAATAAAACCCTTCATGTGTATTTAATAGGGTATATGCAGAAGTATGCGGAAGGACTTTTAATTTGTCAGCGCTTCTGGTGAACTGTGTGCCATTACAAAATCAGCACGTTTAACGTCTGTTTTCTTTGAAAATTAGCCCTCTCCACAGGCTGAGTGATATTCGTTGTAAAGTGGGTCTCAGAATGTACAAGAAGCACTGCATTAAATTACATTTTCCCTGCCATGTCTTTAAAATGTAAACATTTATTTTACCCCAGTATTTTCAATGGAGCTTCTGTGCTAGCCTGCTAATCCTGATGTGTGCGAGTAAACCGCTAGTAAGCAAATAAATGGAAGCAAAAGTCTATTAAACTGATTACATTTTAATTGGATTACAATATCGATGCTGTAAAAGGAACAGAATAAAATGGAAAAAAAGGTCACATTAACCGTTCACCAGGAGTTTATCAGTATTGGAAGAAACACTAGCTCTTCAAATAGCTATAATATAAGGAAGTGTTTATGATTATTACTTATTATTACTACATAAAAACTTTATAATGTTGCCTAATATCAGCTACTTTATCAATTAAGCATAAATAGCAGCAAATTACATTTATTTAGAGGGGGAAACGTGTAAAATAGAAGCTCTCCCTCTTTGAATTTAGTGTAAATAGAATCTGTCGTTTATTGTGTAGTATCTTTAACTATTTACACAGTGACCCTGACAAAAGAAACCCCATTTTGCATGTTTGTTGGAAAGTATTTCACAATTAGAAATGATAAAAATGATTAGCATCTGTGCAATTACCAAATATCTTCTTTTCCAGAGCAAGCCTAATATATATGCACCAGCATTCAGAAATGAGTGGAAAAACAAACCATCTCCCGAGACTGTCAGGTTAGTCATTCTCAAAAGATTTGATTGTGAAAGCCTGAACGCGTGTTAAATTAACAATATTTTTTTTAAATCAGTTTTATTGGACAAGCCGACAATCTTATTAACTTTATAGTCATTCAGTCAAATCTGATGTCTGTCTGTGTATTTTCCTCAGAGGCCCTCGGTGTGTTGCCAGGTTTGACTTTGAGGGAGAGCAGGGTGATGAGCTCTCGTTCTTTGAAGATGATGTTATTCAGCTCAAGGAATATTTAGGAGAGGAATGGGCTCGTGGAGAAGTCAATGGTCACGTCGGCATTTTCCCTCTCAACTTTGTGGAAGTGATTGAGGATCTCCCATCAGTCCCAGTGCAGAAATCTGCTCCCAATAAAATTGCATTGCCTGGTAAGAGCCTCAAGCTATTTTTCACAATACACATTTTATTTGATTACCAAATACTGCTCATTCAAATGACTTATTTGAAATGGCTGTTAAATCAAGACTCAAGAGCCAAATAAAGAAGAAAACAATTATCAGAGCAGAGAAAAAGTTCGCCATTTCCTTATTAATGCAGTGGAAGGGCACTTTAAAATGTACTAACAACATTAAAAATGACTAAAGAAGGCTGTTAATCCTCAACATTGAATTTACATTCATAATTTTTCTAACATTAATGACATGCTTCCTATTTACAATTTTTTACAAAAAAAGGATTTTTGTCTGGGCGGACCAGCCTTCAGTCTGAGTAGGCCGGAGCCACCCTGACCTTTATGTAGCCTCGCCTTTACATAAGCATTTGACTGTCATTATTAATCAATGGTTTATTGAGTCATTGAGTCACCCTGTTCATAAGATAATGCTGAATTATTTATAAACGAAACACAACAATTAGACATGCAGCAAAGAGACCAAATATACCATATGATGCCTAAATATATTTTACTTGCATTTCACCCAAAAATTATGTTATTAATTTTTCCCTCTCATATTGTTTCAATTACCTGAGAGCTTTGATCATTTTCAGAGCACAAATTCAGTTATTTTAGATGAAATTGAAGAGCTCTCTCATCCTCTATAGACAGCAATAGTCCCAAAACATTTAGGGCTATATTTTAACGATCTAGGGGCAAAGTCTAAAGCACATGGCACAAAAGCATTAAGGTTATGTCCGAATCCACTTTTGCTAATTTAAAGATGGAAAAATACGTTCTGCACCTCTTTACCTTCTCTTTTACTCTTTACACTCTTACTTTCCTGGATAAGGAAACAGTGTTGTACGCACTCCACTGAAGACATCCATTAGCCTACATATTTCATTTGTTTAGCACAAAGATTTGTTTCAAAACTATTTCTAAATTCAGTTCTAATTTCCAGCAAATTAACAAATGAACAATAATAACGAAGTGTGCTCAAACAACTGAGTTATATCCAAACACACGTCCTATCATATGCCTTATATGATGATGCAGACGACAAATCTAAAACTTGTTTTTATTAAAGAAAATATAAATCTGCATATAAATAATAATAACATTATACAAATGCAAATTGTCATGAATAAACTGAAAAAGCCTGGACCTTAGACCAGTTTTTAGCTGGTCAACGGCGCGGTATATTTCTGTTCTTCAAAATAGCAACACACCAACAATGCGCCTCAACGCAAAGTGGCTCAAATGTATAGGCTATTTAAACAACATAGCACAAAACGGAAAAATTAGGGTTGCACTGGTCTGAAACCAGCAACAAATCGCGACCCACACATTTTGCGCCTTATTCCACCTGGTGTATGGAATAATGGAACCAAAAGCATTCCATGTGAACTCCTGAAATTTTCATTTTGCCTCTGCAGTTTCAGAAAGCATGCATCATGTTCAGTTTCCTATGAACTTGACCAACTTGTAGATGTCTAATCTTTGCTCAGCATCAACAACAAGTTGTATTGCAGCATCAGTGACTCAGTGAGTGGGCTACTCTCCCTATGGCAGGAATGTGAGGAATTTGCCCTTCTGTTTGTGTTTCATTAAGGCCCGGGTGAAACTTCTTCACACTGTAGTGAACAGGGAGATTGTTTTCTCGTGGATAGATGAGATGATTCTCTTAACTGCAGCTCCTGGAGCAAATTAACAGTTTTTACATCCCCAATAATAAAGTGCAATTCATTCACAAACTGCATTTGTATGCAGGCACTCAATCGAGATCAGGAATCAGTCAAGTTCACAAAGCAAACGAAGAAATTGGTTGAAACACTCTAGAATATTTATAACTTAAGGAAGAGTGCAGTATTTTGGCACAGAGTTGTTTTATAATAGATTTTACAGTTACATTCATTTACAGTAGGTTGTGTTTTATTTTTCAGGAATGGCCAGCTCATCCACACAATCATCATACAGAGCCAGTGAGGTACCCATCTTACCATCTGAACTCATTCATGATTTCCTGTACTAGCGGAACAGCATTTTATTAAAACTGAAACTTTACTCATCATCGAGTAGTTCCAAACATAAAAATTTTTATTTATTTATTTATTTTCAGATAAATAAACAAAAAAAAGGTATTTTGAAAAGCAAAAAGCAGATAACCACTGACATTCATGGATGGAAAAACAAATATGTGACCTTCTTGTATTTGTATTGCATGGGCATATTCGTGGAAATCCAAAATTATAGTTTTTTTTCTTTCATGTCAAAAATCATTAGTATTTTCAGTGAAGATTATGTTCCATGAAGATGTTTTGTACATTTTTATAACATAAATACTCCCAATAACCCAATTTTGATTAGTAAAGTGCATTGATGAAAACTTCTTCTGCCTTTTGTGTTTCACAAAAGGCAGAAGACGTATAGAAGGAAGATTCTAGTCTTCTGTAAATTGGGATCATATAAATGGCAAAAAAGCAACCTGATCATTTTTGACACATTTCATTTACTAAAGCAATCCTGCATTCACTTCACTTTATTTCATGATAGGAAGTAAATTTGTGATTTTTAACAAACCACTTGTTTTACCTTCCATAGTTAGAAGTTTCTATAAGTTTGTGACTTCCAATAAAAAAGTATGCATAGTAAAAAATAATGTGGACAATATTATCAAATTCATATTAATATTTAATGATTATTGATTTAAAGACAAAATGATTTGCCGTTCGGTGATATTTTTAATCAAATATTTCCCAAGTAATGTTCAACAGATAATTCTATGTTTTTCCTATATTTTTTCGTACATGAAAAAATCTTAAAGGGCACCAATGATGGAAACATCTTTTGTAAGCTGTTTGGATAGAACTGTGTGTAGATATAGTGTGTCCACAGTTATATTTTAGTGATGGAATCACAATAAGTCTCTCTTTTTTTTCCCGAGGTTAAATATAGGATCCAAATTCCTCCCATTTTGCCCTTTAATTTGTTAACTTTGACTGGAATAAAGCATTTTTTATTTCATCATAATTTAAGGTTAATATTAATAGGCCCTTAATAGAAATTTTATTATTAACTTAGAAATTATTTTGATTGACTCAAGAACAAACCAGTGTTCTTCAATGAGTTGCCTAGCTAAACTAAGCAGCCTAATTAATCCCTTAAATTGCACATAGATGATTACTAAAGAGGTGGCATGGTGTCTCAGTTGTCACCGCACTGCAAGAAGGTCGCTGGATTGAATCCCAGGTGGACCAGTTGGCATTTTTGTGTGGAGTTTGGATGTTCTCCATATGTTTGTATGGTGCTCCTGTTTACCCCATAGTCCAAACACATGAGGTGTGTGAATTGGATGAAATGAAATTGGACATTTTCTTTCAGAAATATTGAGATATATTGAACTTTGACCAACAGTAAACCGGACTTTGCATGTTGCAGTGCTTTCCGTGTCCAGTGTGAAAGCCTCTACACTCGGTGCAGCTGGAGGGAGAGTTAAACCAATGCGCTGAACTCTACAGTGCAGTGCAGCACAGCATAAACTTTTTTTTCAGCTTTTACTTTCACCCATTTTTTATCCTTCAGGTGAAAAATCCAAAAGTACATTTCGGCAGTAAAGATATACATTCGGTTATTGCTTTCACTACACTACTAGCAAGACATTAGATATTATTCAAGTGGAAAAGAGTAGACCCCCCAACACATGCTGGCTGGATAAATGAAGTAATGTTGTATGAGTGTGAGAATATAAACAAATTAGAGCATATATGGGTAAGCATATATGGATGTTTCCCAGTACTGGATTGCAGCTGAAAGGACATAAAACATGCTGGAATATTTGGTGGTTCATTCCGCTGTGGCAACCCCTGATAACTAAGGCACTGAGCTGAAAGAAAATGAATGAATGCTTTTATCTTAAAATTTCACTAATTATTTTGTAAGTACTTTCATCAAGCTAAAGTCAAAACAAAAGTAATTTATAATTAGAACTTTATCATTTAGACTCTTCCCTAAAAACTTGTGTGTTATATATTTTAAAAAGAATTCAAATTTCAATACAGAGCTAATTATTTTGCCCTCAGCTAATGTTATAAGTCTCTTGAAGTAAGGGAACTGTGTATGCAGGTAAAGAAGAATGTTCTTTTTGTTGTTTATCTACAGGCTGAAAGCAATGGTGCAGAATGGGCTGTGGCACTTTATGACTTCACAGCAGAGACCGAGGAGGATCTGCCCTTCCAGCAGGGAGACAGAATCCTGGTCACAGCTCATGTAGATGATGAATGGTGGAGCGGAAGAATCAATGGCAGAGAGGGCTTCTTCCCTAAAGCGTTTGTGGAGAGTGTAGCAGGTGAGATTATAAAGTGACAGCGCCCTCTAGTGGACAGTTGCAGGAAATACATCTCAGAACCTGTGCTTTTCATTTTTAGTGATTTTAAATATCTTTCTTGTTTTTTGTTTTTTTACAGATGGAAGGAAGTGGTAACAGTTATTCATCAAAGGCATCCTCAGAAGCAGTGTTTTTTTTCTTCTTTAAAGTGTATTTACAGGTTATTTTATTTGTATGTTTGTTGAATGTATTTATAAATGTGAACTCCAAATTCTATTGCAATCTAAAAATATATATTCATGAACTGTTTTTGGCATTACTTATTTGTCTGAAATTGCTGTTTTTCAATCTACTTTAATTTACTGTATTGAAGGGGACCTCTTATGCAAAAATCAATTGTGGCAACAGTGTGTGAATATAGACATCCTCTAATGGTAAAATTGTGTCGTATTTTTTATAATCACAATTCATAAAAGTCTTTAGTAACCATTTGATTGACATTCTCCCTTTATACACTGTAAAAAATTGCTGGGTTCCACACAATTCCTTCACCTTTTCCCAACTCAAAACGATTAAGTTGACAATCATTTTGCCCCGCCCATTGGTGACAATCTCACTCTCATTAGCTTAGACAGCCCTGAAAAGCAACCGTCTACAGTTAGTTTTCACACTGTATCTGCAGAAGATAATGTCAGGGACTAAGAGACTAATATGGTTATTTTCAGGCCAATTAATATGAGTTATTTAAAATTTGTATAACTTCCAGCACATGACAGCCATAGTCTTGTTTTGAGGTGAACTAGTTTTTTTTTTTTTTTTTTTTTTTACAATAGCTGCAGTTTTTTCAATACATTTAACAAGTTTCCTAAACTCTTAACGCAGCAACACACCTAAACACACAATTGGCAAAACGGTTAACTTCATACTCAAAATCACACATTGTGAACTAAACCTCTAAACTAATGTTCAAAATACAATAATGAACCAACACACTACACCATGTCTAACAAAACACTGCAATCATGTTTCAAAATGAAATAATTGTTCAAAACACTAACACATGTTCTCTTCCAACAGAAACATTGTCAATCAGAACACACTGACAATAAAAACACTATCATCAGCTGACATTGCATTATTTTATGTGTCAGCTCTGCCCTTATACTTGATGCCTCACCATTTTAGTTTTGCTGGGTTTAGTAAATGCAGGCATTTTCTTTCTTTTGCTGTAGAAATTCAATACAAAAAAATGAATGACCATCTCAGAGTAGCTTTATAAAATGTAGTTCATGTTAAAAAATAAAATAAAGACACATAATTGCTGCAGTATTTGCAAAAGGACATTACTGCAAGATATACACACCGAAAAAGCACCGCAGTTATAATAAAAAAACAAAAAACAAAGGAATCTTCCATTCTGCCCGATCTTCTGCATTTGCCCGGCTTCTTTTCTGGCCTGGTACGGTATCCGTGGCCCTTTGGCCTATTTGTTTCTCCCAGGGCGACATCTTTTCACCAAGTTGAAGTCAGCCTCGTCAACAAATAATTTCATGTGGGACTTGATTGGCCTCCAATTCCATGACTCTCTAATAGTAATTAGACACACTGTAGATATGCAGTACAGTACAGCATTTACACTATGTACTTATAAACTCCAGGTTTAAAGAGTAGTTTACTGCAAAACACACTGCGTATAGTACAGTAATGACTGTATTGCATAACCTTACCTGGACGTATTGGTGACGGAGTTCTATGATGCGCTCACTGTTCCTTTCAAAAACAAGAGCCTCAAGAGTCCTCTTTTAAAGCATATGATCATGTGATTGGAAAAACCTTAACATATGACTGGGCTTTCTAGATGGGAATCAGCTGTGATACACTTATATGGGCGAGGCAGTGGTGCAGTAGGTAGTGCTGTCGCCTCACATCAAGAAGGTCGCTGGTTCGAACCTCAGCTCAGTTGGCGTTTCTGTGTGGAGTTTGCATGTCCTCCCTGCCTTCGCGTGGGTTTTCTCCGGGTGCTCCTGTTTTCCCCATAGTCGAAAGACATGCGGTACAGGTGAATTGGGTAGGCCAAATTGTCCGTAGTGTATGTGTGTGGATGTTCCCCAGAGATAGGTTGCGGCTGGAAGGGGATCCGCTGCATAAAAATGTGCTGGATAAGTTGGTGGTTCATTCCGCTGTAGCGACCCTGGATTACAGTTTTTTAGGATTGCTTACACACTAAAATTAAAAGTAGTACACTATTAGCAAAATATTACACACAAGTATCAAAACATCAGCCCATATTTGCACAACTATAAGCACATTGTCAACTTAACACTTGTTGCAAAACTCTACACACAGTGATTTTCAAAACACTAAACACACTTAACATACATTACACACTAAAATCTATCATGAAGTCACTTCCTTGCAATACCAAAGCACTGACTGTCAAATTACTGCACCGTCCAACCAATTGGTTCAACACAGTCATCAGGTGTGCAAACACTAGTTTGATTTATTGTAGACACATCAATCAGGTGTTTAAGCACTATAAAATGCCAGTTTCAATGAAAACCATCAGGTCTCAATATCAATACTGTCACACACCATAAAAAAATAATAATTAAAAAAAAAAAAAAATATATATATATATATATATATATATATATATATATATATATATATATATATATATATATATATATATATTCAAATGAAGCAAATTTATGGAGTGCCTTTCGAGCACAATTTCGAAAAGGTGAAAAGATTGTGGCATGATTATGCAGAGGTGTGTATTCACTTTAGCAGTGTGATCTGGCATTCTGTCTCATTACAGTATCTTTTACTGTACTGTAATACTAGATCTACACTGAACTACACAATTTTGCCTGACACTGTTCTTCAGGTAGTTTTACAAATGGATGGAGAGGAGATCTAGCATGAGTTTGCTTACGTAGATGATGGTGTGTTCAACCTGACAAGAACACGGAGTAGAAGAAACATCATTGGCCACAGGGCTATAGTCAATGTCCCAGGGCAACATGGGGGAAATATACAGTAACACTCTGTGCAGCCATTACAAAGAATGGGGTCCTCCACTGCCATGCCCATATAGGCCCTTACAACACAGCACATATACTTACATTCTTGGACCAATTGCACAACATAACAGCAGCAAATGAAATCGATCATACGCAATACATTGTTGTCTGGGACATGGTGTCTTTCCACCATTCTGCTCTGGTTCAGAACTGGTTTCAGCAACATCCACATTTTACCGTCCTACATGTATATCTTCCACCATACTCTCATTCCTCATCCTTATTGAAGAGTTTTTCTCAGCATGGTGGTGGAAAGTATATGATCTTCGTCTCCAAGCTGAGGTACCCCTCATCCAAGCCATGGAGGAGGCCTGTGACCAGATGGAGGTAGCAGCAATACAAGATTGTACATTCAAGACACTTCTTTCCAAGGTGTCTTGCTAAGGACAACATTGCAATTGATAATTCTCATGCCAGATCCAGCTAGGCGAAGAGACAATGTCTAACTTACAGTTCAATACGTAAAGTGACATGTTACTGTACTTTGAATCTTCATGCCAACATGTTGGACATGTTGAGGAATAGATGAGTTTCTTCAAGGTGCAACATTGTTCTTGAGTAGTGTTTCGTGAATTTACTTTATATTTGTACTTTGTTGATGGTAGCCTACTCTAATCATAAGGAAGCAGAAATGCTAAAAGTGTTTTAGGTTTATCACAGCAGTGTGTAACTCGTGCAAACAGTGTATAGTAAATATGAAAATGTGTGTTTCTATGGTAAAAAAAAGTGTGGTTTTTAAACATAAGTCTATAGTTTTTATAAGAGTGTTTAATTATGCAAAGGATCTGTAATGTTTTGCTAATTGGGTGTGTGGTTGTGTTAATTGTGTGTACTGTTTTAAAAAACACGGGCCCTGTTTTGAAAATCGTGCTTAAGCAATCCAAAAAAACTGTAATGACAGAATTGTGTAAAATGTAATTTATAAAAGATAGATAAGCCTACAGAATTATTTTAGAGTAAATGACAATGGTAGCTGTTTTTGATCTAACAGAAACAAAACTACATAAACGCTGTGAGTTTGCATTAGAAATGATCTATTTTCTGTTTGAAGCCTATTTTGAAAACTCACTGAAAAAAAAAATTAATCAAAAATCTAGGAATTATTATTTTCTATCAGTTTGAGGAGGTGCTCAGCTCTGGCAGATTTTAGAGCCCTCCTATAGCTAGACATATTGCACCAGGTAACAGTTAGTGTGCAAGTTGTTACCTTCAGTGGAAGCAGCGCAGATGTGGCGAATGGAATCAGTTTAAATTTTTTTACAAAGAGGGGAGGGAAGGAAAAAAAAAATAAATAAATAAAAATTCAGTAATAAAAGCTACAATAGAATGAGGACAAAAAAGAAAGATCCAGCAAGATAAGCACTCCCAGTCAACACTAGTCTCATCTATACAGAGTAACCAGAGGCGTTAGTCAATAGACAAACATCTGAGGGAGTTTAAACGGTCTTATCAAAAAAGTCACTTCAATTACACAGTGCTATTTGCAGTTTAAAAATTAGGGAAAAAAAAGTTCCCAATAAAATTGAACAAAGCATGTGAGTGATGTACGAGCAGGTTAGTAAAGACAGCACAAATAAGTTTAAAAGAGTCTTTATTGGGAGACTGACAGCTGATTAATATGCTAAGGGCTTTTAATAGGGGTAGCCACTGTTCTGCCATTAGCGGTAACAAGCTCCACTAGACTACCTGAAGGTGGTCTGCTTTCTCCAACAGTCCACTTAAAGAACAGCCTAGAATAGAAGAAAATCATCATATCTTTGTGCACACAGACAAACACCAGATGCTCTAAATACGCGTATACTTACTGGGTAACATGATTTAGTGGGGTCCAGGAACTGACATCGGCATTAGGCATGATCCTCCTATTTGTGGGTGTATCCAAAGTTTCCCTAAAATAGTAAATATTAGTCAAACAATGATTCTGGACAAATGAGTTGACTCTGTATATTTGTATTTCTTACGGAAGGATTGCTAGAGCAACAGATCGCGGTGGAAGACCACTGTTCGGCCCACTGAGACTCTGGGTCAGCTGATGTACAGATGCCTTTGCCATTCCAAAACTAACAGATTCTAGAACAATGGGAGAGAGCAAACAAAGTCACATCCAAAAAATAAAATAATCCACTATTAACTAGACCTCAAATTAGATAGATAGCAAATTAAACAGTAATGTTGGGAAGAAAAAGTTTAGCGGGATTTGCAGAAAAAAAAAAAAAAAAAAAAAAAAAAAAAAAAGACCTTTTTTATTATAAGAAATCAAATTCACTTGGGTAAACTTTAAGAGTTGATGCGTTAAACAATCTCAGTCCTGGAGGTCAGGCGTCCAGCAAAGTTTAGAAAAATCTGCAGGACACCGAACCAACACAATTTGAAAACCCCTGGTCTAGAGGTTTAAAATGGACTACTTCTGAAAATGTGCTCATTTTAACCCTGCTGGAGCAATGATCCTAGATTCTGCAGGAATTTAAAAAAAAAAAAAAAATCCTACTTGGATTAGAAAATGGCCACTTCTAAAAGTTTCAGAATTAGTACGGTGTTGAAATGAAAAAAGCAACTAAAAGAGCTCATAAAAAGAATAATAATAATTTCAGCTAAAGATACCGTTTTTCTTTGGCAATGATCACAAAACATTTTCCTGGAGGTCCGATGTCCTGCAGATTTCAGCTCCAACCCTAATCAAACACACCTGAAAAAGGTAATCAAGGTCTTACGAAGTACACTTGAAACACCCAGGCAGGTTGGAGATAAACCCTGCAGGGCACCGGACCTCCAGGAACGAGATTGACCACTGTTCAATAGCAATTCAGCAAGAAGTCACATTGGAATAAGGTTCCATCTGCTTTCTTAATGATAGAGATGTTGAGCTTCAAAGTTTTTGCATTCCATACAGCACACCGTATGTGTAAGTCTTACAATTTAAAAGAATTTATTTACATTATGGGTTTTTTTTTATTTTTTTAACAAGTTGTCATTTAATAAGAACGTCAATAACTAAATTGAAAAACACATCAAATTTAACCTTATAATTTGAGGGTGACGAAGTTTGCATAGAACTCTAAAGCACAAAAGTTGTGGAAATTGTCAACAGCTTGTTTCAAAGTTATTAATTTAGTAAAATAGAAGCACTTAAGATTTGGTTTGTCTATACATTCGTATAACAGTTTAAGGGAATACAGGACAAGAGAGGGGGGGGACACCACCTTACACACCTGCTGTTGGCCCCAGTGCTACTTTGGCCCCTGACAATGTGAGCAGCCCACCCTCTCTCAGGTATTTTGTTGCTAGGTGAGTACAAATGGTGGAGGTCCACACATTCTCCTTCCACATCAGATCAGCATACTTGTACAGAGCTGAGGCAAAAATATTATTTTCATATGGAGTCAAAAATCATGTAACAAAATCACTGTCACATAAGGTCTGAAGACCTGCAAAACCAGTACTAACAGTTGGCTTTAGCATTGCCCTCTGCTTGACCTCCAGCCACGCAGTAGATGGCATCAACTTTCTCATCACCCAACAGTTTACCAACACCCACTGTTACCTATGAGGGGGCAGAAGAGGTAATAAACAGATACAAGTTACCTGAAACCACATTAATGTGAAAAGCGCTTTAAATTAACTTTGTTTACTGTAGCTCTTTCTTTGCTTCTCCACAGTGGCTTTATAGGCAGCGTTTCCCCAACCCTGTTTGAGGCACACCAGCTAAACATATTTTGGAGGTCTTTATCAATCTAATCCACTAATTTCAGGTTTTGGGATCGGTTAAATGTTCTGCCGAGTTGATTCAGGAGCATCTGATTAGGAAGAGGTTTAAATCTTGTACTGGTGTACCTTCAGGAACAGGGTTGGGAAACACTTGTACAACGCATTCTTCAAAACTCAATTTAATAATTGCTAAAATAAACCATTCCTTAAATCAGTAAATTCTACTAACTAATTCACTACAATTAATTCATAGGGAGAGTTAATGTACAACATACCTTCACTGTAAAACCTATAAAGTAAAGCTAACTCAAACCACTCTAGTAAACCGCTTGCAAGAAACCACTTAACAAATTTGAGTACTGTTAACTTACTCCATTTAAGTTGAAGTAAGGAGATATAAAACCAAATGACTTTGACAAAATTAATTTTACTCATTTGAGGAGTTTTGAACTGTTAATGTGGTTAACTATACTCGTTTTGTTTGATAAACTTGACTGTTGGGTTTTACAGTGTGGAAATAAAATAAGCATTTATTTGGGGGGGGGGGGGGGGCTTTAGGGAGAGATGGTCCTATTCTTTTAGGCAGTGTACCTGTTTGGCTTGATCAGTGAAGGATTCAGTCATCTTTACTTTAACATTTGCACTGGCTTCTTTGTTGACACTATGAGCAATAGAGGCAACCCACTGAGAAAAGGGGAAAAATAAAACATAACATTTGGTCATCTTGCCATAACAGCATAAAATAAAATGCAATCAAATGTTTAAGTGAATAACACTGCTTGAAGAAAATAAACTATCAAACGATCATCTGGTGGCACATTGCGAAGCAAACCTATTTCAATGAAGAGGTTCTGAGTTGATGCAACTTACCCAATTTTGGGCTCTGAAATAACGTACACTCTCTAGGCCTAGTGCTCCAGTTCCCCCATAAACAATCACTTTCTTTACTTCGCTGAAGGCCAGACTGGAATTCAGAACCATTACTGAAAAACAAAAACAATCGAAAACTCAAACACACATTAGAACAAAATTTAACCCACAAGAAACCCATTCAGATCTCAATTGTACAGCCAAACATTCAAATCATCTTCAGCTCAATAAGAAACTTCCAGCAGGGCTGTCAAACACAGATCCTGGAGGACCACAGCCCTGAAGAGTTCAGTTCCAGCTCTGCTTTACCACAGCTACCTGCTGGTTTCTATCAAAACTTATAGTTTCAATTAGTTTAATTAAGCATGTTTAATTAGTGTTAAAGTAATTTGTGCAGAGCTGGAACTGAGTTTGATGCATGTGACTTACAGGTAAGGAGGACACCAAAAGTAAACATGATTCTGACACAAACTGTCTACAACACTGCAGAAAGAGCTTACTGTTTCATATTTATAGACCGCTGGTGTGAGTGTTAATGAGAGACACCTGTGCGCCACACCTGTGGAGGATTAACAGGAGGAGTGAAGACAGTGAAAGACCAGAGAAGACCATCGGACAGATGTATAAACTACCAGAACATGTAACTGGAACTTCTCTTATTATGCTTTAAATTCAATTAGAACGTGAATATTTGTGAATTGAATGAGAACTTACTGAATGACAGCTTGAATAAATGTATGTTTATTATTTTCTCACCTATTCAAGAACATACTAAATACGTTTTATCCAAGAAAATTACTTTTATATTCACAGATGTTTGGCAGCAGTGTGTGAATATAGACATCCTCTAATGGTAAAATTGTGTTATATTTTTTATAATCACACCTCATAAAAACCTTAAGAAACACTTTGATTAACATTCTCTCTTTGTACACACTAAAAACTTTGCTGGGTTCCACACAATTCCTTCACGTTGTCCAAACACAAAACGATTAATTCTGCAGTCACACTAGAGTTTGAGCATGTGAAATTCTGTCGTACGGCGCAGTGAAAAGAGGTGGGACTAAACAAGATGATTAGACTTTTTTAAAAAAAGCGAGCGATTGGTCATGTTTTGATCCTCAATTGATCTCAGACAGTTAAGTGATGGAATTTCACAGATTGGAGTTCACCAAGCTTGAACTTTGCAATGCAGCGAACTGTGAAACTTGTCGCAGGTGCTTGCGTTTTTGGTCTGACGCATTAGCATGTATATGAATAGAAGTCTATGGGGAGAAAAGTACAGTGTGACTGCAGCTTAAGTTGACAATCATTTTGCCCCACCCATTGGTGACTATCTCACTCTCTTTAGCTTAGACAGCCCTGAGTGAGAAGCAGTAGTCTACAGTTTTTTTTCACACAGTACCTGCCAAAGATAATGTCAGCAACTAGAGGCAATACAAGTGTTGAGTTTTAGGATGCACAAACGAACACCGTAGTCTCCAGTCTACCTTCTTCACAGCCACTTCTTGCAACAGTGTCAGATATTCTCAAAAATAAGGTTAGTCCTGTTTTGATGCTATTCTAAGCTAATTATCATTCAAGTTCATGATTCCTCATTTTAAGGTGAGATACACTTTAACCTCTGGATTGCTTAATTATTAGAAGTCTTTAGAACGCTATATAAAGAGAGAAATCAATGTCAGCTAAGTTACCATACATGGTTATTTTTAGTCACATTAATATGAATTATTTAAACCAGTGTAGCCATCAGTTTCTTTTGAGGTGAACAATTTGCATTTAGTACCACTAGCTAGATAGGGCTGCTTTTTCTAAATATGTTGTGTGAAATGTATGCAATTCACTATTCTAAACATGAGTAAAATCTTTAGTTTTTATACCAAAGCTCCTAATTAGGAATTATTCAATTTCAGTTTATATACATTTTTTTCACCAGATTCATTTGAAAAATAATTTTCACTAATAATTTTGTCATTAAAAGATAATTAGGCTTTGCAAAGTATTGAGAGTTTATTATAAGGAAATTTAGATGTTTTATCACCTCTTTATATGTTGCTTAAAATGGAATAAAATTAAGCTTACATGACTTTTAATTAAACATTTGTTCACAAGCTTCAGTTTTTTCAGTTTCTATATATATATATATATATATATATATCAGCTCTAGATGTTATTTGTCAAATACAAATCATTTTTGCAAGTGAAACACATTTATAAATATTTGCACAGCAACAGTTTGCATACAGTAAGTACCTCCCACTTGTTAAGGGTCCAAAAGCATTTGGACAATTAGCTTTTTAAGCTGCTTCATGGACAGGTGTTTGTTACACTATTATGATAGATTGTGATGTTACAATATTATGACAGATGACAATTTAGAAAAACCACTTATTTCAGATGTTTTTACCAAATATTTTAAAAGTTCTAAGATAAATGCTTTTTAAAAAAAAAAAAAAAAAAAAAAAAAAAAGGATTAAATCAAGCTGGTGAGTGATGTATAAGCAGGTTAGTAAAGACAGTACAAATAAGTTTAAAAGTCTTTATTGGGAGACTGACAGCTGATTAATATGCTAAGGGCTTTTAATAGGGGTAGCCACTGTTCTGCCATTAGCGGTAACAAGCTCCACAAGACTGCCTGAAGCTGGTCTGCTTTCTCCAACAGTCCACTTAAAGAACAGCCTAGAATGGGAGAAAAGCATCATAGCTTTGTGCACACAAGTAAAACCAGACACTCTAATACACATACTTACTGAGTTACATGATTTAGTGGTGTCCAGGAACTGACATCAGCATTAGGCATGATCCTCCTATTTGTAGGAGTATCCAAAGTCACTCTAAATAATAAATGAAAACAGTAACTATTAGTCAATGATTCTGGACAAATGCACTCTGTATATTTGCATTCCTTACGGAAGGATTGCTAGAGCAACAGATCGCGGTGGAAGACCACTGTTTGGCCCACTGAGACTCTGGGTCAGCTGATGTACAGATGCCTTTGCCATTCCAAAACTAACAGATTCTAGAACAATGGGAGAGAGCAAACAGTCACATAAGAAAATCCTCCAACTTGTATGGTCAAGATTGAGAAAATTAACAGCAATTTTGGGATTCAGTGTAGCGGGATTAGCAGAACAATTGAATGGCCTGTGTTTTATTACAAGAAATCAACTTGGCCCATCTTGGATAAGCGGAGTGTTGATGCATTTAACAAATATCAAAAATGGCATAATCTTTATTCATTTGATTAAGTGACTTAGCAAATCCAAGTAGCAGATTCTCGATGGAGGTACTTTTGATCTTTACAGCCATATAAAAAAAAAAAAAAAAAAATTGCATATTTATTTTCATAAAATATTAACACAAGTCGTCAAACACTAGAAAATTCAACTTAGCCTAGTGCAGGGGGTTCAATATCAATTCTGGAGGTCAGGTGTCTTAAAGTTCAGCAAAAAGTACACTTTCAGCTGAAGATACTGATGTTCAGTGGTAATTCAGTAAGTTTGCATAGAGCTCAAAAGCACAAAATTGTCAACAGCTGGTTTCAAAGCTGTTAACATTAGTAAAACATTTTAGATTAAAGACTTGGTTTGTCTATACATTCGTATAACATTAAGGAAGGGAGTAAGGAGAGCAAGAGCAAGGGGGGGGGAAAAAAAAAAAAAAAAAAAAAAAAAAAAAAAAAAAAAAAAAAAAAAACACACACACACACACACACAACACCTTACACACCTGCTGTTGGCCCCAGTGCTACTTTGGCCCCTGACAGTGTGAGCAGCCCGCCCTCTCTCAGGTATTTGGTTGCTAGGTGAGTACAAATGGTGGAGGTCCACACATTCTCCTTCCACATCAGATCAGCATACTTGTACAGAGCTGAGGCAAAAATATTATTTTCATATGGAGTCAAAAATCATGTAACAAAACCACTGTCACATAAGGTCTGAAAATCCTGCAAGACCAGTACTAACAGTTGGCTTTGGCATTGCCCTCTGCTTGACCTCCAGCCACGCAGTAGATGGCATCAACTTTCTCATCACCCAACAGCTTACCAACACCCACTGTTACCTATGAGGGGGCAGAAGAGGGAAAAACGGATACAAAAGTTACCCGAAACAGCATTAATGTGAAAAGTGCTTTAAAATTAACTTCGTTTACTGTAGCTCTTTGCTTCTCCATGGTGGCTTTTTACACAGCTCTCCCAACTGTTTCTGGAGGCACATCAGCAGAACATATTTTGGAGGTCTTTATTAATCTAATCAGCCAATTTCACGGTTCGGGATCAGTTAAATGTTCTGCCAAGTTGATTTAGGAGCATCTGATTAGGAAGAGGTTGAAATCTTGTACTAGTGTGCCTTCAGAAACAGGGTTGGGAAACACTTGTACAACGCATGCTTCAAAACTCCATTTAATAATTGCTAAAATAACCCATTCCTTACAGCTTTAAAAATCAATAAATTATACTAATTCTCACAACAATTCATTCATAGGGAGAACATTAATGTACAGCAAAACTTCTGTAAAACCCAAAATGTAGAGCAAACTCAAACTATTTGTGGAAACCGCTTGCAACAAACCATTTAACAAGTTTGAGTACTGTTAACTTACTTCATTTAAGTTGAAGTAATGATAAAACTCATTACCTTAAAAACCCAAATTCTAAACTCTTAGTTGTAGAATTCAATTGAGTTAACTACTCATTTCATTCGATAAACTTGACTGTTGGGTTTTACAGAGTAGAATTAAAATAAGCATGAAACTTAAGGGGTGGGGGAGAGATGGTCTTATTTTGCAGTGTACCTGTTTGGCTTGCTCAGTGAAGGATTCAGTCATCTTAACTTTAACATTTGCACTGGCTTCTGCGTTAACGCTATGAGCAATAGAGGCAACCCACTGAGAAAAGGGGAAAAAATAATAATAATTAAAAGATTGTCATAACAGCGCATAAGAAAATAAAGTTAAATCAATGTTAAACGAGAAATGTATAACACTGCTTACAGTAAATAAACTCAAAATATAAGTGCATCTGGTGGCACACTGCCAAGCAAGCTTATTTCATTGATGGTCTTCTGAGATAACTCACCCAGTTTTTGGCTCTGAAGTAGCGCACACTCTCTGAACCCAGTGCTCCACTTCCCCCATAAACAATCACTTTCTTTACTTCGCTGAAGGCCAGACTGGAATTCAGAACCATTACTGAAAAACAATTAAAATTTATAACACCTGTGCACCTTAGACAAAGTCACATCAGTTAAAAAAAATAAATAAATAACCCATGAGAAAACATTCCAGATATCAAATGTGCAGCTAAACATTACATGCATCTCCTTCAGTTTAATAAGAAACTCTCAGCATGGTTGTCAAACAGATCCTGGAGGACCACAGCCCTGAAATAGTTAGTTCCAGCTCTGCTTTAACACACTTACCTGCATGTCTCAAACAAATCCTAAGGACTCAATTAGTGTTGGCATGTTTAATTAGTGTTAAAGTAAATTTGTGCAGAACTGTAACTGAGTTTGAAGCATGTGACTTACAGGTAAGGAGAATGCCAAACGATAACATGATTCTGACACAGATTGTCTTCAACACTGCAGAAAGTGCTTACTGTTTCATATTTATAGACCGCTGGTGTGAGTGTTAATGAGGGACACCTGTGCGGCACACCAGCGGAGGATTAACAGGAGACGAAATGACAGTGAAAGACCAAAGAAGACCATCGGACAGATGCATAAATGATAACCAGAATATTTAACTGGAACTTCTCTTATGATTCTTCAAATTCAATCAGAATGTGAATACTTGAGAATTAAATGAGAAATCACTGATTGACAGCTTGAATTAATGTATGTTATTATTAAAGTGTGCTCTTTTGATGGTTATCTTAAGAAAACTATTTCAAATGAACTTGAATAAATAAACAAAATATAAACTTTCTTTGTATTGGCTTAACAAACCCTTTGAGGGCAAACAGAATAAAATCTTCAAATTCAAATAGAATGTGAATAGGTGAGAATTGAATGAGAAATCACTGAATGACAGCTTGAATAAACGCGTTTATTATTTTCTCACCCGTTCCAGAACATACTGAATACAACACTTTATTCAACAAAAAAATCACTTTTATATTCAGAGATGTTGGCAACAGTGCGTGAATATAGACATCCTCTGGTAAAATTGTTGTATTTTTACAATCCCACCTTATGAAAATCTTCAGAACCACTTTGACATTCTCTCTTTGTACACAGTAAAAAGGGGGGGTTTCAGACAATTCCTTCAGGCTGTCCAAACACAAATTGATTAAGGTGACAATCATTTTGTCCCACCGATTGGTGACGATCCACCAGATCAGATCACACACACATTCCACATAGAATGTCCAAGTTTTTTGTATATGGTGTACCTATTAAAAAAAAAAAAAAAAAAAGTGCAAAAGTGTCTGTGGGATTCTGTTCCCAGGATATCGGATATATCAGTGTTGAGTCTGAGCTCTGCATGCTGCAACGTACTTCTTGGTCAGGTAGGCCTATTAATCTCTAACTCTTAAATGCATCTTTGGGTAATTGATGTTGTACATTTTTAAATTGGCTTATTTAATTACGAAATTGGCATCAAAAATCTTTGCCTGATAAATAAATGTAAAATTCTTGTTGAACTGAAATATCTCCTGAAATCTTTATAGGTTGTTTAGGCTGATGTTTCCGCAGCTTATGACCAGGATTGCTCATACCCTCAGACTTAATGGATGGAGCATTGGCACAGCATTAAGCTGCAGTCACATTTGTGTGTGCGGAATTCTGTCGTACGGCACTGCAAAGAGGGGCGGGATTAAACAAGGTTATTGGACATTTAAAAAAAAAAAAAAAAAAAATGTGAGCAATTGCTCCAGGTTTTAAATTTCTGTCCAAAGAGGTCATGTTTTGATCCTCGATTGGTCTCACGCAGTCACACGATTTCGCAGGTCAGAGTTCACCAAGCATGAACTTTGCATAACAGTGACCGGCGAAACTTAATGCATGACCCTGTGCTTCCGGTCTGACACATTCGCATGTCTAGAAGTCTATGGGGAGAAAAGTCAAGTGTGACCGCAGCTGTTGAAACCTGTTAATTTCTGACAATCACTGACTTATAATCTAGATCTTAGTGGCTAAATCAAACAATTCTTAGCATGGAGCAGCCTAATATTACTTAAACAATATTAGTTTAGTTATATCCTCTAAGAACTAGAACTGGCGAGGCTGTGTTCATGACCAGATGTAACTGGCCAGCATAACTGATTCTAAGCAAGTTAGGGTAAATGATGAACCATTAACTAAAAATAATTATTAGGTTAATCGATTTAAATTAGACTAAATCACAACCTATAAGGTGATTAGCTTGAATTAGATGAATCTAAGTTTAAATTATTATAAATAGGAGTCAGAAGTTGGAAACAAATTTAAATATTTCTTTAAAAAAAATTATAATAAAACATTAAACAAAAAGCCCCCATGTTCACACTGATTTGACCAAAGTGAATTGTCACCCACTTATATATGAAGGATTTTTAAACAAAGTTTTCAAAAGAATCTATTACCAAACTTTGGCAGCACCGCGTGACAAGTGTAGATAAATCAGATCAGCGTTCTAGCACAGGTTGATAGTGATAAGGCAGAAGAGAAAGAATGATTAACAACTACATAAGCCAACTTATGCTAATTGTTCCTGTATACTACTACTACAACAACAACAACAACAACAACAACAACAACAACAAAAAATAAATAATAATAATAATTTGAGTTTGCACTGACAGACAAGAACTTTAGCTTGTGATGGAAGACTTTTTTTTTTTTTTTTTTTTTTTAATAAACCAGTCTGCACAACTGTTTTCAACCATATACCAGAGGGGGGTAAACATTTAAATTTTATTTCATTTGTTTGTTTGATAGGTGAAAATCTTTTCTGTACAAGCAGAGTTTACCAAAGAAAATTTGCAGTATGATTGAATAAAGCATGTGAGTGATGTGCGAGCAAACGAAGACAGCACAAAATTAATCACTTAAAACAGTCTTTATTGGGAGACTGACAGCTGATTAATATGCTAAACGCTTTTAATAGGGGTAGCCACTGTTTTGCCATTTGTAGTAACAAGCTCCACAAGACTACCTGACGGTGGTCTGCTTTTACCAACAGTCCACTTAAAGAACAGCCTAGAATGGGAAAAAAATGCATCATATCTTTGTGCACACAGACAAACTCTAGACACTCTAATACACTTATACTTACTGGGTTACATGATTAAGCGGGGTCCAGGAACTGACATCAGCATTGGGCATGATCTTTCTATTTGTGGGTGTATCCAAAGTTACTCTAAAAGGTAGTAAATATTAGTCAAACAAGGATTCTGGACCAATGAGTTGACTCTGTATATTTGTATTTCTTACGGAAGGATTGCTAGAGCAACAGATCGTGGTGGAAGACCACTGTTTGGCCCACCGAGACTCCGGGTCAGCTGATGTACAGATGCCTTTGCCATTCCAAAACTAACAGATTCTAGAACAATAGAAGAGATCGAACCAAGTCATATCTTACAGAATTATTATTTTTATATATAAAAATTCATTAGACCTTGGCTGAACAGTATCAAGAGCAAGTTAAGAGAAATTAAGTGGAATTAGCTGGACTATTCAGCAGCCTGTGTTTTTTTTTTTTTTTTTTTTACAAAATCAACTGCACCCACCCACCTGAGGTAAACCGTAAAAGGGTGCACTGATCCATTTAACGAATATAAAACAGCATGTTTTATTACACAATATTTTGATTTAACCAATGATTTATGTCCAAGTAGGAAATTCTTAAAAGAGGTACATTTAATGGTTACACCTATATAAAGAGCTGCCTATTTATTCCCATACAATTTTAATATATGCACTATTAACACTATAAAAATGTACATAATTTTGCTTAGCCATACAGCTTTTATGCTCGAACCCCAATCAGATATAACTGGACTGGCTAAACAAGCTCTAAGTTTTCTAGAAACATCCTTGCAGGTGTTGAGGCAAGTGGAGTTAAAATCTGCAGGACACTGGATCTCCAGGACAAAAAGTTTGAGAACCCCTGGCCTAGAATTTACTTGACGGCATTTCTGAAAACAAGCTTATTTTAACCCTGCCTAAGCCATGGTACGTTGACTATAAAAAGGAAAAAGCCTAATTCCTTCTTAGAGATCATAATAAAATTAACAAAAAACAGCAACTCCATGTTCTTCCACACCTATACACAAAATGCAACTACAAGCTTTTTATAAATTAGAAAATTAATTGTTCATAAGCAGATGCTTACGGTCTAATCTAAGTCAATGATCTAATGTTAAGATTTACTCCCACCAGACCTGGTAATAACCTTTTATTATTATTATTATTATTATTATTATTTAAAAAGACGACATCTTAACCTTTAGAGCAGTTGTAAAAACATTTTAAACAGTGCTGAAATGAAAAGCTAAAGTTTACAAAATGTATTTCCAACTAAAGATATTTAATTACCATTGACCATCAGCAAGTTCTCAAGCTAAAGCACAAAACTGTCAACATGGTCAATTGTTTGTTTCAAACAAAAAAAGTTAAACTATTTGTAATAAAATGTTTTTACCCTAAACCATTTTACATTAATAACAAATTGGTTTGTCAATTATACATTTGCATTTCATTCCAGAAATGAAGGGAAGAAAATAAATGAAGTTTTACACCTGCTGTCGGCCCCAGTGCTACTTTGGCTCCAGTCAGTGTGAGCAGTCCCCCCACTCTCAGGTATCTGGTTGCTAGGTGAGTACAAATAGTGGAGGTCCACACATTTTGTTTCCACATCAGATCCGCATACTTGTACAGAGCTGAGAAAAAATAAAACCCCTCATACAGTCAAACAATCACATAACTGAAACTTCAGGACAATTATTGAACTAGATCTTGCATCCTTTTAACAGTGCAAAATACACAAAACACTTCAGAAAGCAACAAAGCTTCCAAGTGGTATCTTTGACAATGCCATTGCAACAGATCATGTCTGAAAAATCTATGAGACCAGTACTAACATTTGGCTTTAGCATTGCCCTCTGCTTGACCTCCAGCCACGCAGAAGATGGCATCAACTTTCTCAACACCCAACAGCTTACCAACACCCACTGTTACCTATGAGGGGGCAGGGGGGGGGGGGGGGAATAAACAGATACAAGTTACTTGAAACAACATTAATGTGAGGTGCTTAAATTAACTGGATTTACTATAGCCCTTTCTTTGCTTCTCCATGTTGGCTGTATACACAGTTTCCCCAACCCTGTTTGAGGCACACAAACAGAACATTTCAGATGTTTCTCTTAAATTAACAATGAGATTCTGAAGTGTCTTTTAATTTTCTGTTGAGTTGATTCAGGTATGCGTTATTAGGAAGGTGTATTTATTAAAAAAAAAAAAAAAAAAAAAAAAAAAAAGTTCTGTTAGTGTGCCTTCAGGAACAGGGTTGGGAAACACTGGTATAAAGCTGCGGTCACACTGCACTTTTTTCCCCCGATAGACTTAAATTTATACGCATGCAAATGCATCAGACCACAAACACAAATTCATGCGTCAAGTTTCGCAGTTCACTGTAGTGCATGGTTAAAGCTTGGTGAACTCTGACATGCAAAAATCATGTCTTGACTGCGCGAGGCTAATCGATGATCAAAACATGACCTCTCTGGGCAGGAATTTAAA